TAACCTTTCCGTTGGAGTTTAGTGATGTAAATCATGGAAAGGGGGAGGGAAGCAACTTTTAATTTTTTTGGCATAGGGGTCCAAAGAGCTCTAATTACTCTACTGGCTGTCAGTTGGTACTTTAATCCTTTTGAGATGTCTAAAACAAAGGCTGACCACCTTTGTTTAAGACGTTGACTCGGGACAGATGGGAGTCGTCCCACAGGCCAGGGATTTTGCGTCCGTTAAGCCTAACTTCAAAGTGAAAAATCACACACACACACACACACACACACACAAAAAAAAAAGGTTTACATTCTAACGTCATAATTTTTGGTACTATTTTAGATTATTAGTTTAGCTATCATGTGTTAAAATTAGCGTTTAATAATCTTTTCCCTTTATTTTACACGACGACATATAAAAAAAAAATTGCTTATTTTGAGAAATAATTTTCGGAAGAGAAAAATTTTTAAATTAATTAAAAATACAAGAACTGTTTCCAAGAAGTAAAAAAATCTTTCACGTGAACCGGAAGGCACACACTCAGTGAGATGTCTCTAACAAAATGTCCGTATGAGAATCAATAGAAATATCACTTTCTAACTCTTTAGAAAATTAATCATCACTCTCATTCATATCACTAATTCAGGGGTTCTCAACCCTTTGCCCGTGGGCACCATGGCGTCCGCCGATTGTTTAACTTGTGCCCGCCGCTGTGCGACCACAATAAAAATGTTTTAGTTTTCAATAAAATTCTATGTGAAAAGAAGTTTTCTCCTTTTCAACGAAATACAAATTGCGTCCAACACAGATACCAGCACAAAGCGAAATGCGACCAATTTCTCTCTCTCTCTCTCTTTTTTTTTTTTTTATGTGCATGCATTATTAACTCTATCTATAAATTCACCTCAAAAACGTAAATGGTGCCCGTCGTCCAACAGATATTCTAGATTGCACTCTTAGGGACAAAAAGGTTGGGGACCCTGCACTAATTGGTTCAATTACCATTCGTCTGATAAATAATGCTTTCTCACTATAATCAACTGAAGTCAAGGCTTTCTGAAATAAAAGCAACACAAAGCATAATAGAACCTCAGATAGCAACCATAAAAGACTCTATATAGTAGGATAAAAAGAATAAAAATTAGATTCGAAGCCATGTACAAACGCGAATGTTTATATCATGTGGCGCGTTAGGCTCATACCACACAGCACTTGTTTCACACAAACAACTGTTTCGGACAGTTTTTCTGCCTGGTTTAGAAAGATGAAAGAAAGATGTGCGACTTTTTCGGTCTTTTCAAAAAAAAAATTGCAAGTTGTTCATTTTCAATCAATCAGCTATCAGCTTGTTTGTAATGGTGTACCAGTTTCCCCTGTGTTAACCCCAAACGATCTATGGTGATTGGCTGTTGTGACAAAGCAGAAAAATTGTTCCAAACAGTTGTTCTTCAAAAACAAACCGACGTGTGATAGCAGCCTTAAAGAGACGAGCTCTGTCTGTTTATATTATGCCCCCCCCTTTCTTGCTCGTAACGCCAGTATCAGCTGTTGAAAATGACATCAGCATCACACAGAATGTCATCAAATTTAAGGTCAGAAATCTTAAAAACTATATTCAGTTCAAAAGTAATGGACACAAGATGCCATCTAGTGGTCTTTAAAACGTTTCAGGACACTGGCACAAATATGTGACAGCCAGGGGTGAACAAGAAAGCGCTCTGGCACACCAGCCTGCAGGGAATGAGCGCATTTCTTGCTGGCAACTATGTATGACATCAGCGCAAAAGGGTTATTGTCTGGTTATTCCTAGATAACATTTAGAAAGTGATTAGCATTGTCTTGAGGAAAAGGAATAATTTTCTTGCTCTCTTTTCTCTTTGCACGGACAAGTTTCATACTCCTACATATTTCCTGCATAATGCAGAATGCATTTTCTACGTCCATATAATTTTAACGCCGCCCAGACGGCATAGTGGTTAGGGCAGCTTACTACAGTACCGAATATTCTAAGATCGAATCCCGGAGAAGGCATGGTTGTAACTGTCCGTTCCTTCATAGGAAGCAACGACCCTCCACAATAAAAGGACCACCTGAATAGGCAAGCGCCTGCCATTGGATTAAAAAAAAATTATATATAATTTTTGACACTCAATAGGGCCACTTTTTTTGAAAAGTTCAATTACATACTCAAATTGAGGAAGTTGATGAGTTTGTCAGCCATAATTCCCTTAGTCATTTTTGTTAGGTATCAACACCAGTTTACATCTCTATAATAGTCAAACGTTGAGAACTGGTATTTCTTTTTCTAGCAAGAATTTTAGTGCACAGTTTCATTACAACATAAATTGGTTTTCCTCATTAAGAGACAAATTGGTATATTACCCTAACCTGATTAAAGTGAGCCATTTCCTGTACTCATTAATGCTGAAAAGTACTATAAATTGACAACACTCACCTTTGAGGTTTCTCTGAATTTCAGGTTTACGTAGGCTGTGTTTATCAATAAACAGCACCAATTCAGATACACACAAGTTGCTCTGGAAGATGGAGTGCATGGGACACAAAGTGTTGGTTTTCTTGCGTTTAAAGTCCAACTGCATGAAATCTGCAGCAGTAAAATTAACTATTCCAGTTTGTACAGCAGGCTGACAGCCTAAAACAAACTCTTTTGTAGTCACTTCATAGTTTAAGCTGACAATGACACAAAATGATCATCGGATGCAGTTGTTACACTTGGCCACACTTAACCAGGATGTCTACGGATGCCTGAAAAACACTTCCAAGTTCTTGCAGCCACTATTTGCATTTGTCCTCCTTTGAATTTTCCCATAACTGGCATTTATGCCGTACACTTAAATGATATCATGACACATAACTAAGGAATACTGATCCCAGTCAGAAAACAAATTAATTCGAAACAAAATTACATATTCAAATTCTAACACACATCCATTGTGCAACAAGAGGTCAGTCATCTAAATTGCGCATTTCATATGTTAACATATGCACAGAGTTCAGGTTTGTAGTCATTTGCAAATCATTAACATAAATAAGTACAAAATTAGACATTAGTTGAAAACTTTAACGATGAATTACACCTTTTTTGCATTATCCTTTACCTTTGTTAGGCACTATGAATATACTTTGTTAGGGATATGAATACAGATATCGTCATTCTGTTTCAAATTTACAATCAAGGTATTCTAGGTGAAAGCATTCAACACCAATATGGAAACATTCAACACCAATATGGAATTCCTATAATAACTTTCAACACCAATATGGAATTCCTATAATAACTTTCAGGGTAATCTAGTACACCACTTTCTGCCAAAGGACTCTTTATTGCAGCCTTAAATGCCCTAACATACTACAGTGCAGATACTACAAATATTTTGAATGAAAGCCACAAACAGAAGTAGGTGTTCCACACATAATATCCCATGGGTGACAGCATTAAAGACAGACCTTATATCACCAACATACAAGCACTAAACACTGCAACAGACTAAGTTATTGCTAAGAATAATAATGAGGTAGTTAAAATTTCAAGTAAGAACATCAAAGTAACAGTCTATCAGCTGAAATAAGAAACCTCATTAAATAATAATAAAACAAGAAAAAACAAGTGTTACATTTAGGCTTAGCTTAAAAAAAAAACATATATATGTATAATCAATATTACATGTGTCACCCAACCATGACAGTGGTTAGCAACACTCACTGCCCTACTGAATAGCCCAGAATATTCGAATCTCACAGATAGTATGGATGTTTGTAAATGTATACTGTCTATGTGGTATGGGAGCACTGTAAATATGTGGCAAGCCAAAAGTCTTCTCAAGTGGTTGATCGGAGAGGAAGAGATATGGGAGACGCTTGGATGCGTCCCTCTGGGGTGTTCTCCATAAAATTCAGGGCAGAAGTGAGCTAAGTTGCATTGTCACCTGTATGGTGCTCAAGGCTCTTGCCAATAACAAGCATAATCTTGCACTCCTTGCATATGCATATATATTGTTACGGTTTTGTATTTATTTAGCTACTATTAGTAGAATTTGTAATTTTTTATATTCCCGTGCAATGCAGCACAAGACTTATTTGAAGAGAAAGAAATTAAAATACAGAAGCACATGCATTTAACATTTTAATAAACAGATATCTTGTAATTGTATTCCTTTGCTATCCAGAAAAATCAAGAAGATACCAGAATATTCTTGTGCAGGATTAAAAAGCTTATAAAAGCTGGAGGAAAACATTTCAACTCAGTTGTTTACTTAGTTCTTGTTGCTGACTGTAGCGAATTCGTGGTGAAATCAGATTAGCTTTCACTGTTTTGAATTGAGCTCTATTGAACGTTTTAGTAGCTTAAAATATAACTACTTTGAGATATTGCAATATTGTACGAATATGTCTGAGAAAATTTAAGCATTTTGTATTTATTCTTGGGATAATAGTAAATTTTACTAACTTCTTATCGACTTGTGCATTCAATCCATTACGAACCCGTACGCACGCAACAATAACACATGCAAGCATATGGCAAATTTTTCACATAAAACATAAAATCGGGGTTTTTTTTTTTTTTTAAAGTTAAAAAAAAAAAGGGAGGTCAAAAAGTGAAACAGCAATATTTACATGTACATGTTACAAGGACTAAATATTTGACATTTCCTATGCATGAAATTATAGGAAAAGGTTCAAACATGTAAAAATTTAACTGCACATTTGGACATACACACATTGTGATTTCTTTTCTCTCCCAAAATAAATAATATACATTTAAAATGGCAAATATAGCACCTGGTTTATTTGTTGTAATAATATATATATGACAATATAATTTATGATAATACTAAACAATATAATATATAGTATAATTTATGAATATATACAACTTAAAAATTCTACAGGTGTGAAAACAGATTTATATAAAACATATAAATTATTTTCCCCCATTTAAAAATGTTAATTTTCTTAACTTGCATTGAATTTTTTTAAAATGAAGACATAATGAATGCATTTTCAAATTAGCTTTATTTTATAGCTCAATAAATTATATATACATAAAAGATCATAAAAGATCCATTTAAAACTTTTTAAACAAAGTTAATGATTGCATAGAATTCTGGCAGAAATCTTTCATATTTATAAGCGTGACATTTTTTAGTTTACAGCATACGCACCAAGTCACCACACACAGGGAAATACATTAAAAATGCTCAAAAGTTCATTTCCACCAAAATCCTAAAATATAAAATTTAATGTAAATTTTAACGAATAAATATAACATTAAAGTTTTCACATTATTAGAAATTCATCTTCAAATAATTACGTCCAATATGTTTCATCAAAATAGAAACTGTTATAACACAGCAATTCATTACAGATTAACAAACTGACAACATAATTTTTGGTGTCTGCACAGGTATCACATAATACTTCACAATGGTAATGTGATACATAAAATAAGGATGCAACCTAATTAAAAGGAGACATTCTGAAATACACCAATTATAAACTTTTAACTATAATTTTTAAATATTTGTTAAAATTCTCTCCAAGATTCCTGGGAACATCAGGAAATGATCATAGATTTTTCTTAAAAGAACATATTGGATAATGCTAATAATGTGCAACATTCCTGAAAATTTCAGGAAATGATGATAGATGTATTCTTGACAGAATGAACTGAATAATTTTCCATTAATTTTCTTTTATGATGTCGCATTTGTACCAAATTTATGTTACAGTAACCTCCTGATTTACGTAATAAATCACTTACATGAATTTGCAATTATATAAGTGTGCAAAAGCCACAACATTCAAACTGAAACCTACCAGTTAAAAATAAGGATTCTGTAAATAATTTCACCTTTCCCTGCCCATATTTCTTACATTTAAGCAATATTCTGCAGTTAGTTTAAGCACATTTTTTTAAAAATTTTTTTTATTATTATTATTACTGTTAAGAGTTTGCTGCTGAAACTGTTAGAGTTTACTTTTAAATAACTGAAAATACTCTAGCAGCTGTACCTATTTCAATATGTCTAGCATTCCATGATGATAAGAAGTATGTGATAATACAAGACCACACAATCTATTCTAGACATGTTTATAAGATGCCAGTTGTAGCAATGTCAAGATGATAACTCTTACAACCCTGACTACTACTCATTCTCTACCGCAATGAGGAGTACAGGTTGCCAGAGAACAGCACTTCTCTTCACAACCACTTATCTTCAATGCCAACTCCTTCAATACACAGCCAAATTAACAGACACAAGACTTTTTTTTTTAAATTTAAAAAAGCTATTTACTTTGTTTTTACATTATTTTTGCAGTTTATATCTGAATAAATACTGCTGCATAATGTTTAAGTTATTTGAATATGGCAAAGCACGTGATTGCTATCTGTCTAAAGAGATGGATGCCTTCATGGAGGCCATTTTAAGGGAAATGCTCATATTTTCACTACACATGGAGAAAATCAGGAAAACCAATCTTGCAGCCAGACTTTTTGAACCTGGGCTGTGTAATGTAACCATATTCAGTGGTTTTAATTATTCAGCCACTCATATGGCAATGTTTCATTCACAAAGCAATATAGTTAAATAATAGACATATATAAACAGATATATACATATAATAATAATAAATATTGCGGTTTCCTTATACAGAGTGAACAATTCCAAAACTTGAATTTACGCAAATCAAATTTTTATGTAAAGGTTATGAAATGCATTACATATTTAAATCAGGGGGTTAATGTACAGGATTTTCATGAAAGTAAGATATCACAGAATTCTAAATTATATCACATTTTCAGCAACTCAAAATGCAAGTATTATTTTACTTTTTAAAACTTTTGTAATTCTTCTTAAAAATAATATGTTCATTTTAATTGTATATTAAATGCTCTCAAATATACCGTCAATACTCATGAAACTTGTTTTATAAAATTTTCAGAATATACTATACACAGATGATTATCCATAATGTTAATATTTATACATACAAAAGCTATTGTAATTACTGAAAACTTTAAGTAAACATTTGATTACTTGATGTTTAAATATGGTAATAAATGTTTTCTTGATGTTTTCATATAAGTGACTTAAAGTTATGAAAATATGTACTTTCTGATTATCCACATCCCTACTGAAAATTCATAAAGAAGTATTCATGAGGCAAAGCATTATGTTGCCAAAATATTTATGTGGCAACCCACAATGTTACCAAAAGGTATTTATGTAGCAACCCAAATCTGTGCGTAGCGAACATCTATTTTCACTGGTGAGCAATACAGAAGTTGTATGGAATCGAGTTTAATGGGAAAACAGATCGCTTTCTATGTGGGAAGAATAATAGTGCAAAAAAGAAGAATTTCTTGAAAAACATGTTTTATTACCTATGTTTTTAACTTTTTCAGTTTGACTAATTGATTACTCTTGCATGGAATTTTTGCATGCCACAATTTTGAAAATAGTAGTTGCCTTTCATGCATTAGGTTGGTGAAAAATTAGTCGGCAATGAGTTACTGGCTTTTCGGTAAGGGGCGTGCATAATCAGAAAGTGCTGAATTATTTAATTAAAAATTAGCCGTCTTTCTGAAAAAGCAAAGGAACAAGATGAACTAAAATTTTCAAAATTTCCTGATGCTATATTAATAATGCCAATATTAAAGCAGGGGTGAAGTAATAAGTCACATTTTTTAAGGATATTATTAAAAATACAAATAATGCAGTAAGTAGAAATACCAAAATGATATGTAAATTAGTAGTATTTTTATACACACTGCACTCCACAAAGCAGAAACATGGGAATACAATTCAAATATCTGCAAGATGTATGCAATTAACATGCTTCAGATTATGAATACAAATTTCTGCTTTAAAAACAGGAACACTCTCAGTGCCTTTTGATCAAGAACCAGAATTAAATAATAATTTGAAAAAGTTTAGGCTAAATATTTTATTGCAACATAGATGGCAACACAGAATTAGTCTAATCAATAAATGCTAAATAAACAACAAAATTACATTTTCAAACTCTTTCCAGTACCAGTTTATATATGCATAGAAGATGATACAACCAAAAGCAGAAATATGTGAAAATGGATGAATAATATAATGCATATTTGATTTTCATATTTTTAATAATTCTAAATAACAGATATTCATTCATATGGAAGCCAGGTATGAAAATTGGAAGAAACACTAATTTCTTAATAACAGTTCAATGTTTGATAGTTGTCCTGCGTCTTTGGAGATTCTAAAAATAAACAAGAGATGAAAAATTAGAAATGCCCTTAAGCAGTTCTAAATATACCCTGAAGTGCCACTGAATTAAGAATAGCAAGTCAATAATGAGTTGGCCCTCCTCTGGCCTTGATAATAGCTGCCACATGATAAGGCACAGATTCGATATATGTACGGAAGCATTCTACGGGAATGGCTTGCCAAACATTGGATAGAGCTATCCATATTTCAAGAAGGGTCGCTAGTGTTATGTGATGTGCTTTCACACCTTTTTCCAAAACCTCCAAAAGGTGCTCAGTAGGATTTAAGATAGGGCTTCTACATAGTCAATTAATGACAGAGGAATGCTCAACCAGCCAGGCAGTAGCCAATCGGAACTTGTGCAGTTATCTAGCTGGAATACTCCTATATCCGTATGAAGGACATGATAACATTAATGGATTGAGATGATCGCCCAGCAGCTCTATGTACCAAATCATATGGAAAGAGGTTGGTACAAGTACCAAAGATCCCACATACTGCCAAAAGAAAACACCTCAGACCATGACTGAATCACAGCCTTGTACAGTTCTACATTGGTATACAGGATCCATGGCTTCATGAGCTTGACGCAATATTCTCAGCTTTCCCTCATTGTTAAGCAGTCGAAACCAAGACTTATCACTTAATGCTATTCATTTCCGATTCTCTAGAGTCCATTCTATGAGTTTTGTTACCCAGGCAAGTTATAGAGCTCAATGGCATACTTTGAGCAGTTATTCTCATGGCTCTGCGGCTCCTGAAGCCCATATGGTGAAGCGAGCAATGCACAATCTCTTTACTTATTATATGACTGGTGCCCTGGGTGGTAATTTGAGTTAATGCTTTGCTGGCTATGTAAAATTTGGCTGTCTCGCACCACAGTGATTCAAGGCTTATTGTCCTTTGCAACTTGCTCAACGGCTAATTCCCCCCCACCATTGTGTATTCTTAGTATAGTCTTAACACTGTCAACCTTAAAAATCCTAGACCTTTGACGACTTTGGAAATTGAATGGCCCATGCATTGAGCGCCTACTATCTGTCCGCAATTGAAGTTGTCTAGATCAGAAGTTTTACCCATACTGGCATTTGAAACAAATGATTAAAAACAACCATAGTACTAGTAATATATTCAGTTACCACATCGCCCTCGTGTAAGCATAAATGCGGTGCAGTGCTACACAATTTTTATAGTCATGTCTATCCTAATTCAGTAGCACTTCGGTGTATTTGTTGATTCATATTTACATATTAAAATATGCTTAAAGTTAAATACATGTAAGTATAAAGTCTAGTGGAAAGTTCTGTTTGATAATATTATTTCAAATTTCAATATACAAGCAGATGTTCATTTGGGACATATATAGCTATCTGTCTTTATTACTGCATTTATGTACATGTGCTCTTCTAAATTAACTGAAACAAAAGTCCCTTATATTATTATGAATTGAAATGTTATCGTGTACACATGGCTACCAATAAAATTCATTTACTACACTGTATTTTGTATAAATTCAAACTTAAGAGAAATTCTACAGAAGCATGTCAAAATTTAGTGAAAATATAGTTTCAGATAGACTGTCTACGAGATTGTTTGAAAAATCTGAAGAAGATGGTTTCGACTCAGCTCTAGGTAGCTATCCTTTTTGTGACAACACTGGAAACTGCAAAAAAGCTCAGCTTAACTCAGCTCAACAAACTATTTTGGACCATATTTGTAGACTAGAATCAGTTTATAAATATTCCAAATGGGTACCTCATGAGTTGTGAGAAAAATTTGCAAGATTGAGTCATCACAAGCACATCTTTGCTTGCTCAGAGCAAAAAATAACCTTGCTTGAATAACTGGCGAAGTGGATTACCCGAGAAAATATCATAAGGAAAAGACCATAGAGTTAGACAGAACAACCTGCCACCTCTAAATGCAGTTTGAGCCTGAATGCTGTGTGACAACCAAGGATCAATATCATACGAGCTTTTGAAACCTAACAAAAAGCTCAATCTGAAAGATACTGCTAGTAAATTGACAGATGAATTAAGCAGTCAAAGAAAAGAGGCCAATGATATTGAATGGAAAGCACTGGTGAAGTGGATACTGCATCATGATAATGCCAGACCATATGCTGATTCGGTGAATCATCAAATCATAGAGCTAAATCAAGAAATTCTGCTACATCCACCATACTTCCCAGACCTAGCATCTTCTGATTATCACTAGTTTCTTTCCTTGCCAAATTTTTGAAGGATAAAAAATTCAAAACTGAAGCAGATGTCAGCCAAACACTGCAAGAATTTTACACCTTTAAAGACAAGACATTTTTCAAAAATGTTATTTACAAATCCCTATCATGCTAGTAAGAGGCATAAATAACAACATAAATTATATTGCACAATAAATATTACAGGGTTGCCACTCAAACAGAAGAATGAAATTCTCTGACTTTTCCAGATGTGTTTTAAGAAAATTCCAATCTGTCTGTGTGGTGCACGTTGGCTGTGCTAAGAGGTAAATTAATTATGGCACCACTTGAAAACAGAAAAAATGCCAATTACATATGACATATATATATATGTGATGTATCAGCTTTAGTCGTAGCTTAAATAATCAGACGATAAGTTTAAAAAACAGGATCCATTTATTATTATTATTCAGGAGAAAAGAGCAGCTACAAAAATCAGAAATCCGGAGTAAATAAAAAGAATTACTAATAACTTTTTGTATGAAGTTTACTGCATCATGACATTTAAGAAAAAGCCCCAATATTCCTTTTGTGAGTCTTTTTATAGACTCTGGAAAGGCGGAGCTTCCAAGAAATGACGTCAGCCAATCCAGTTCGCTTTAAATATCTTGAGAACATTCTATAACTGTACGTGTAGAAAAGACGGGAAAAACAACTTGACTACGGGGCTGTGGATTTAATTCCACGTACTTTCAAATAACAGAACATCACCATTAAAAATGAAAAGAACATACAGTTAGAATTTTAAGTGTATTCTTGACTATGGAATTTTATTATTACATATATATATATATATCACTGAAGATTGAGATTACAATCTGCTCAATCTGGATTAAAAATGTCCTTTTGTACGGACATTTTGCAGCAAAACGAAATAAATAAATCTGTTTAATGATATTTTAAAATAAATTCAGATATTTTATATTTATTTAGCAGCATACATAAGCAAAAAATATGTGCATTAAATTTCGTTATAGGATGTCATCATACTGCTAGAATTAGTTTCAGGAGTATGCCAGAGAAAATTGTTATTATTAACTAATAATAAATAAATTTAAAAGAAAGAAGCCACATTAAATGATACAAATAACATTTAAATAAAGTTAATTACTTAAAGATTAAAATTTAATTAGAATAATCAATGATATTTTGGTGAATATAATTATATTAAGTGATTAGCCTAGATGAGTGATTACTATTTTTTTTTTATTTTACTGCAAAATGACAAATAAGGCATAAAAAAAAAAAAGTTTAAAAGATTTTATGGTAAAATCCTAGTATACAGTACAGCCTTAGCACAATTCTGAAAATTGTTTCCAACACCAAAATGACCCGTTTACTGCTCATCATAATGTCACCAAATCCAACAGTACTATATACTGGGATTAAACCGATTTTGTTTTATATGAGAATAGGAAAGCATTTTCTTTCGTTCAACATGCACTGCACATGCGAATCTCCTGATTCTCGAGGTTACTGAAATCCAAAGTTGCTCGAAAAACTGCTTTGCCTTTCTAAATGACAATTTGATTGGAGCTGCCAAAATTGGCTCTACACAAGCTACCTGAATGATGCTCATACAATATATAATTTGCCAAGAAAGTGACCGCTTCTAATGTTGGCATAAAAATCGCTTTTTTTTTTTTAGATCACCGTATGAAATTCCTTGGCTTTTCCAGTTTTTTGACAAAAATATTTTAAATCCCTGACTTCTTGGTTAATTTTCAAATTTTCTAACTTTTCCCAGTTTTCCAGGTAGTATGGTAACCCTGATATTATTAAGGGTACAATAAATGTATTAATTTCTTTCACTTTTCAAATTTTCCAGCAGACCTTAATATAAATCTAAATTAAAGATCTCTAGAATTTACAAACACAAAATATTCACAAGTGGCAAAGAAGATGCATTCCACGATTATGAGACAGTTACTTATGATCATATACATTCAGAAGTCTTTCACATATGGCATAAACATATAGACTGATAAAGAAAAACAATCATATTTCAATTCCATTTTTTTACACATACTCCCTCAAAAAATTCAGATATTGTGATTCCAGCCTTTGTTTAAAAATGCAACATATTGAAATATTGCATGATTTAGAAATTATAATCCTTTAATTATCATCCACATCCTAATAAGAAATTTAAAAATGTTTTATAAAAGAATTACATTATAATGAAAAAAAAAAGAGAAAAAGGCTGAGAAGTACACATACAGCACACTTTTTTTAACTCATAAAGCTAAAGCATTCTTCATCTATACAGTTTACATCTCATATCTAATTTTGAATAAAATAAAAATGCATTGAATATACATGCATATTACTATAAAACTATTAAACATGCTGAAATGAAGCAAATGCTAAAATATGGTTAAAAAATTAAGTTTTGAAAATATGAGGAGAGTGAAATCGTTCACTGTCCCCACAAATGTGGAAAAATGCATTCACTTGCCAGAAGCTCCATTTTTACCCAGTTCTGAAAGCGTTAAAAAGGTTTCAAAAAGATGCTGTCCTAGTTGAATATTTTCTTTTAATGTGGCCCTATTAATGTTCTTTTAATGTGCCTACTTTAATCTAATGATCAGAAGTTTGCCACCCAGATGAGAAAGTGGTTAGTGCTGACTGCCTTACCGAAAGGCCCAGATTCAAATCCTGGAGAAAGCATATTTGTAAACATATAATGTCTGTATGGAATGAGGCACTTAAAATATATGGAAATCCAAAAGTCTTTGAGAGATTCATGGATGGGTAAGTGGGGTGGGAAACCCTCGGTCTCCCAGGGTGCACTTCTCCAAAATTTGGGACGTAATTGAGCAAAGTCAGACTGTCATTTATAAGGTGCCCAAGGCTTTTGCTAATGACAGATACAGTCTTTTACTTCTTTCCATGATAAAATTTGCAGATTTGCTCTGATTAGCTTACACAAATGAGATTAGTCACAACAACAACATAATGTGCTCCAATATTGTATACAGTAAAAAATTTTACATTTGCAAATACAGTATAAGTCCAGAAATCCACACAGCTTGGGACCAGAAGTTGTGTGGATTTCAGGACAGAAAAGATAAATCATAATATTCAGACTATAAGTGCAAAATAAATAAGGCGTATTAGCTACATTTAATTAAATTATTATATGCATTATTGCAATAACTTATTATAATCATTAAATTATTATTACATATATAAACTGATTATATTATTCATTGTATTATATATACACAGCATCAAAGTTTGCCAATTTCACCTCATGCAAAGATTTTCGGTTTCGGATTTTGGTGTTAGAATCACTGTTGCTGTAAAATTTAAACAGCTTTTCTTTATTTTTTCGTATATTATACACAATCATATCGCAATTCCATACGATTCTGCTATAAAATGCACCTGTCTCCATCTTTTGCAGAATTTGCCCTTTTTGGCATTACAATGTAATGTGTTTACATTTCTCAACGTTGCAGGTAGTAAAATGAATGCGTTTCTTATCTGTGATTGTATTAAAAAGGGCTGAAATTTAAAATATTCTTAATTTATCTACAAAATATCCGGGTAAAAAAAAAAAAGGCAGCACTAAATAATCTTGTGAAATCACAAAGCTCAGAAAATACAACAATGTGAATCATGAACTTAAAAGAAGAGTTGAGTGAATCGTTTGCTTTCTTACCTCAATGCAGATTAGAGGGAAAAAAACTTTTATCATGATGTCAATAATTTGGTATTTCCGTTATGATTCATTATTATTTGGTAAGTATTTTTTCTTCAATATTTCGTACTCAATGTACTGGCTTCCGGAACCTATAAACTGAATGTTTATATTTTGAGAGGCAACGCGGATTTCAGGTCGGCAGATTTTTGTTATTTGACTGTATACAAAAACTCACAGCGACTATTGTAACTGTAACGTCATGCGGCAAATTTAGCCATGGAATTAAAATATTAATGGTGAAATAAATGATGTAAATACTGAAACTTATTTGAATCAAAATATTAATTTCAGACATTTTGTTATGTGAAACATACTGCAATGATTATACTTTTTAGTAATTCTGGTGTTCTTTTTCAAGGACCCTGCCTTGATATTATGAAGCATAATTTTAGATAAGTATAGCTGAATTCAAAATAATGATTAAAAGAAAGGTATAAATTATAAAGTTTAAATTATTTAAATATATATATTCACAGAAAGACCACTAATTATTTAGATATTTATATGAGGCAAAAGTTAACTTCACTGCATTCAGTATAAAAATTAAACAGTTTGCATGTAATAATCTTGTATGAAGGAAAACAGGCTATAAAAACATGACTACTATGTTAATTTAAATTCAAATGTAAAATTTGCTGAAAGATTAGTTTTTCACAGAGTTTCATCAGATATTTTGGACTGCTAATCTATGTTACTCAATGTAGCAATTAATCTGATTAATGTAGCAATTAATTTCCAATCAAAACATGACTTGGCCAGGTAAACTGTCCGTTTTCAAAATGTTTTCATTTGATATACCATAAGAAACATTGTCATTGATAAATGTAAAGATAATTCTTCCCTGCACTCCATTACGATTTCTTTTGATGTTAAATCTCTCTCTGTTTCAAATTTTCTGATAAAAGAAGCACTAAAATATCTTGAAACTAGGCTTTGAGAATTTTTATTTCATACATACTAACATTGAAGAGTTAATTTTCTCTTACTAAGGTCTCCGAGTCAAACCTACTTTGCTTTCAAAATGAATATTATCACCAAAGTGAAGGATTAGCTATGGGCAATACTTCCAGTCCTGTACTTGCTGACATGTCCAGTCCTGTACATGCACTATGCTGAAGTCAAATTATTTGAAAAACTCTCTTTTCATCTCTGGATTTGCTGTGTAGATGACACTTTCATGCTTTTTGATGGCAATAAAGATTTATCCCAGATTATATGTTATGAATTTGACTGACCCAGCCATCCAGTTCACTTTTGAAACTGAATCTGACCTTTCCTTTTTGGCATTCTTACAATTCGGAATGAATTTGATTTCAGCAAACCCTTTTCAGTTTGTAAACAATGTCACTTGGCTAACCAAAAAATGACATTCTTTTATTACTATGTATTTTATGCTCTCAAAGTTTGTTCCTCAGAACCTTTGCTAGCTAATGAACTCAGAGATTAGTTACAACTGACTAAGGACTTTCTCCCATGATCACTGATAAAGCCTTAAAAAATTTTCATCTTGCCATCAAAGACGACATTCCACTGTTAGAAATAACATCAACAACTTAGTTGTGTTTCCATGTCATCCTTCTGTCAGTTACAAAATTGCATGGATTCCCCAGAAATTCAATTTTAAAGTCATTTTCTCACTTCAATAAAATCCACAGTTCTATTCTTAAAAATTCCATATCTGACTTTAAATTCTCGGGGAATTTAAAGCATATCTTGACAGTGACGTTACACTGTCAGTATGGTTTGAAATATAACAGCCAAAGTTAAAGAGCATTAAAATTTTACATCGAAGAACATGAATCTCATATCCAAAAAGGTGAAATCAACAAGTCTTCAACAGCTAATCACAGTTGGAAATGTAATCATAAGTTTGACTTTGGTTTGCAAAAATTATCCAGTGTTTTTGTTTTATTCCTTTTGCTTATAAATATAAATGTAGCTTTCCTCTCATTGCAAATTTCTTTGCTCCAAATGAAGATGGACCTGTACGTGTTTGCCCTCGAAATTGATAAGCGTCTTGACTAAAATCTCTGCCGAAGTTGTTGGTTTATGTTTTACTTTGGCATGTTTTTCTTGTGTCTTGATAACACAAGAACTTTAAATTATGCTTCAAATTATTACTATACCAAGCTTTCCCATACCTTCTTTATTAACCACTTCTGTTAATTTATGAAAGATTTTCTCACCTGCTCACTTTATGATTGCCGAACATGAGAAAAGGATGCTTGGTCAGAATTATAATACAGAAGAAGATACTGTAAGGAGGGGATTCTTCAACTCACCATACTGTTTGACAAATTTAGCAACTCAGAAGCAATAAATACACCTAACAATTTAAATCCTTATTTGACCTTTTCTTCAGTATATTAACTGATACAAAAGCCAATACCTCCCACAGATAAATGAACATCTACAGCATTATTTTAATTGACAAAAAGTGTTTCTAGTGCCATTTTATGTTTCAGTACAGAATTGTTAGGTATGTTTTTCTATTTTAAGTATGTGTGAACTTCATAAATGAAATCATCATCTCAATCAAAGCATCTTTTATATGGATGAATTTATTTATGAGCCTTTTCACTGAATGCAAAAGAAAGATATGCACTTAACTTCGTATGGATATTTGGACACATCAGAAAATTTTGATAATACTACTCAAAATATAGTTACAAAGCTGTGTTGCGAATAAGCTCAAAGAGCAGCTGTGATTGTATTTTAAATCTTGATTAAATTCATATAAATTGAAATGCTGATAAATTTTGGTAAAAATATTTTCTTATTTCCAGCTCTTTACACATGAACAAAATACAAAAATATTTTTTTATATTAATTAAAAAAGAAGAAACATTTAAAATCTATCAACACCATATAAAATTATACATCATAAAAGTGAAAAATGAAATATTATCTAACAATTTTCACATAAAATAGTCAACATAACTATATGTGATTTAAAAAAAAACACTTTATGAAGATCTTGCTCTAAATTAATAAACAATCCCAGCGAAAATTAGAATTTAAATTACAAGCAGAATATTATATCAACCAATATTTACATATGTACCATTATTTTCTTCTATCCACACATCATCTTCTTCCAGACATAAAACTTCTAACCACTGTTGGCCTACATCATTTATTTCTTTCCCAACTTTATTTTCATAATCAGCCTTAAATATAGAAATTGTAAGATACTAATAAGTATAGACATATTCACTAATTTCTAAGAATGACGTTTATAAAAATCAAGACACAAAGCAAAAATTCATATACATTAAATGACTCCTTAAATTCCAGCTATTGTGATTTCATTTTCAGGTCTTTCAAAGTTTTAATTAAAGAAGACATTGATTATTAGCTATTTAACATATGTGCAATTCCTTCTACTACTTTTTTTATTATAGGGAAAAGAAAATTACAATATTTGGATATTTCAAATATCGAACTGTGAGGTATGTTATTTTTACTAATTCTTAAGAGCAACTCCAACAGGTGAAAGTGGAGTTTACAGAAGATATTGGAGGCATAAAAGAAGATGTTGAAATGAGAGAAGTGGCATCTGGAGAGCCCAAGGATAACGAAATGAAAGAAGTAGCTAATGAAGTGCCTGAGAAAGATCCAGAAATGATCGATGAAATATCTAACGGGATTAAAGAAAAAGAACGAAAACATGAAGGGAAGATTTTGATTCTCACGTGCCTGAAGTAGAGATAGAAGAAAGTGAAAATGTGACTGTGAAGTTTCTAGAAACTGATGGTGAAGTTATGAAAATGCAGTCAGCAAATGTTGAACCATCTGCAAGTGCATGTGATGCAGAGATGGGAGAAGCTGATGTACAGCTTAAGCAGTGTGCTCCAGTATTGCAAGAAAATTCACTCATTCACTCACCTCACAAATTATATGTGTGTCTCATAGTGCTGATTGTGCAGACAAGGACTTGATTCTAAACCTAGATACTTGTGTTTGTGAAGAATCAGGTTCCGTTCATGACACTGATGCAGAATTTGGAATTAGGTTCTCAAGGAAAAGGAGGAAAATGTAAGCATATACCAGCTGCTGAAAATAACTGAGGTGAACTGTATACATGATGTGAGTAAACTTCAGAGTGGTGAACAAAACGTTTCAGATCCTTCCTGTGGATGAAGGAAGTCTGGAAAGGACTGATTCTTTGAACTGTGATATGCCATATCATAAAGACATCTGAGAACTGCAGTGGAAAAGTATTTGACCCGGGTATATTTTAATGAAAAGACTGAGACTGAAATTCATTATGAACTTTAATGTGTATAATTTAAAATTGTTATGTGTTTAATTTGTGTATAGTGTAAATCTTTGCTTCTTTAGTTATGTTATCTGTATGTTTTAAATCGTTTTGATTGTATCGAATTTGGCTTCTGACTAAGGGTTGTACTGCCCGGGGCGTACAGTCCTTGGGAGGGGGCAGTGTAATGAAATGTACAAACGCAGTAAGATGGCTTCCCCGCAAAGCAGTTTTAATGGCAAGGGAAGGCAGGGTTGCCACATTTGACGAGAAATCACCCATTTGGCAACAAAATTGGTGGTATACCATGGATGGATGGAGAACCTTCTGGATAGAATTCTTACCAGTTTAGCTCAAAATGTTCTCGAACACAAGCCGAAAGCTATATAAACAATGCTGGTCCGCAGTCAGTCAGTGTGTGTGCCTCGTCTAGTGAGCTGATAGTCAGTCATTGAGCAAGTGTCTCGAAGTCTAGTGCCGAGTGCATCAAGAGAGTCTTTTAGTGCATCGCAAGTTGCAGCTTGGAGAGTCTCGAGAGTACGTGGAGTTCCGAGAACGACCAAGCAGAGTTGAGAGCTAAACTCTAGTGCTTTGCCATGAAGCTGTCTCCACCGTGATAGCCTGATAACCTGAAGGCTGTGTCGCTGATCGTGTCAGCATGTTTATAGTAGTTCATCGACGACTGCAAAACGTGTTTTGGAGCTATCCTGACAATACTGGTAAATAAAGTGTGTTTTAATACTTCATCAAGTGTCATCGTTATTCACTCCAACCCCGTACGAATGTGAAGGAAGAAAATAACGTAACAACTGGTGTCAGAAGAAAAGAAAAAAACGCGACAATATGTCTTAAATCATGATCTGAAGATGGTATGGAACTAATGCAACATATCAAATAAGATATTTTATAATAACAAAAAAGAAAAAGGAGGTGGGAATTTGTATTTAAACAACACTGCAGAGTGCCCATATAGTTATAATAAGCAGAATTTCTTTCTTATCCATTAAGAGTTAAGAATGAAAAAGTTTATGTTTTATAAATATAAATTTAACTACTTCTATTAGAACTAAAAAATTTCAGTACGATTTTATAATAAATATGTTATAAATAGTTATTTCCATAGGAATTGTTGCAATTTTCTTTTCAAATCTTAAGTTCTGCATGCAGTATTTTAATTGTCAGTAAACAAATTTATTGCTATACATACAGGATTCAAGATTTGTTTCCTTACATCAAAAGTGAAGGTTATTTAATATAATATTCTCATAAAATTTGGAATAGCTTGTGCAAAATTCTGTTTTTTTTGGCCAATGATAATTGTCAAAAATTCATAAAATAATGTCAAAACAATTCATACAGTATAATTCACATTACCACCTTTTGGACAAGATGAAGGAATTTTATTCAACTTATTATTATTTTTCAATTTTACTTTTTCATATATGCTGCTTTGAGGAAAAAGACAGTACTTGTATGTAAGCATGCTAGCACCCAACAACACATCACCGTAAAATATATTTTCTGATGAAATCTTTTTGTTTAAATTTATTTATTTCCATTTTGTGTAGCAAATGCTTTTCAAAATCATTATCAAATTGTTATTATCTGCAGATTGCCATTGTCTACTTAAGAACTCTGCTAAACTTTCATTCTAATGTGAGGTTAAAAATATTAAGGAAAAAATTATGTACTTGCTTTGTTCAAGAGACTTCTGTCAAATCAGTTTCCAATTATTTGCCAGCTGTTATTGACATTACATTTTCAACAAGTAGTATCATTTCATTGCAAGAGAACCAGAACACTTCTACAAAATACTATAAAGATGAAATTGATAGACTGTTTTAAATTCATTTCTCACCAAATCTCAGTCAAGAAACAGGTGATGCAAAATACACACAGCTAGCAAATTTTTTTCCAAGAATTATCCAAGTTAAAAATATTAAGAAAAAAATTATGTACTTGTTTTGTTTAAACCTGACATTAGAATGAAAGTGGTTATCGATATCCTCTCTTATCCCCCAAAAGCACACCATTAAGAAAATGAAATATAAATCTTTTTAGAAAAATCTAGAACAGCTAAGGTTGCCAAACATTTTCAGCAATCATTCAAGGCTGATATTTTTGACCATACATGAGACAAAGGCTAACATGTAAGTACCAAAGCAACTTTATCCTATTAAAGCAATATATTATTTCACTCAAATTATTGTAATTATTAATTTTATGCAATAACTATTACTGCATGTTAAAAAATATCAATAAAATTTATTTAAAATTTCTTACTCTCTGACTTTTGTGGCAAGCTATAGATCTATTAGATTCGAAGGGAAAAAATTACGAAGATTTGCATCATATATTGTGGATTATTTCCTTAATGCAAATTAATATAATTTACATTCCTATATGTTAAAAATTTATTGACAATATATTGTTATGAATTTTGTATAAACAGAGTTTAAATTGTGCTGGAGTCCACTGGGCTTCTGTACTTCTCAATTTTTGAAGTAAGTCATAATTCTAGCCGAAAGGCCCCAGAACCTTAAATAAAAGGGCTCCAGTGCTTTTTTTATGTAAATGAACCACACTTTAAGTAGAAAAATTTTAACTTAATAAAAAATAATTCTTAAAAATCAATTGTAATTTCAGAATGCATGCCTATCTTTTCCTGAGAAACAAACCCTTACTTAGGTTAAGACTTTTAACAGAAATGTAAGGTTTCCACCTACATGTCTAAGGCTTATTTTGCAGGAAGTGCAATGAATTTAGGAGAACGGGTAATGTTTTCTTCCTCGAAAGTAAAACCTGGTCATGCATGTACGACGATAATAACTAACTCCCCAACGAAAGACAGGCTTTTGGGAATGCTGTAAACAAATATGGGGGAAGTAAATTGTCACTTGTTTAGAGCCTAATATTTCTTATGTTGTTACAGGGTAAGTTTTTTCTCTCGTTACATTCTGCTTGACAGCTAGAATTATATCAACAGGGAATTGCGATCAGACAGCAATGAACTCTTCACTCCTTGTTCTCAACGTTACACTTTTCCGTTAAAATTTCTGTCCATGCTCTCATAGTGTTTCTAGTATTCCCACTATTTTCATTAACAATGCTTCAATAGTTTTACATTTTTTTCATTTTGGAAAAAGAAGAGTTTTTCCTATCATCCCTTGTTGTTTATATGTCATATTGTCTGTTTCTATCATCACTTGATACTGCATTATACACTGTATTCCAGGCTGAAATACAGCCAGAGACTATATGAGCTATTTATTAGTTTCTGAGGAAAACTGTAAATCCCGCTGTAGTCTTAAGTAAGACAAGGCCTAATATTTTATTATTTAACTATTTATCATTAACTTAATAATTTATTAAATTTTTATTTAAATACTTTAATTATTAGTTTGCTTATTTATTTTTTCTTCTTTCTTCGCGGCCTTCTATAGGGCTCTGGTACTTCTAATTTTAGAAATTAAGCCCTGTGTATAATGTAACATGAAATGTCTGAAGAACATGAAGCCTTGCCAGAAAAAGGTTACAGATGCAAGTCTATTTAACATTGAGGTAAATGGGTATCTCACTCCGCCAAGTTGGTGATGGTTTTGAGGAGAAATCATCAAAAGTTGCCAAACTTGCAGACAACTGGGCAACAATTTGGTCTGGTTCCTGTATAACTGTAGTTGATCCCTATATTTAACTGTAACCATATCCGGCTCTTATATGCAATTTTAACTGTATACACCTTCTAGTAATTTCCAGGGGAAAAAGGTACTGGAAATTCCTAGCGAAAACTTTATAAGATCGGAAAGAGCATCGGTTCTCAATTTTTAGTTCAGAATATCGAGAGATCAATATGCGAGCTTTGCCCTTTGGATGCGCTTTGTATTGTGCTGTGTTTAACGTTCTTTGTAGTTTGTAGGGAAACTACTGATTATGCTCTGTAATACTAAGAAGAGCTGTATGACTACTTTGGTGGAAAGTTCTAGAACTAGTGTTTCTTTTTGGAAAATAAATTTTATCAAGCTATCATTGGTTCTGTGTACATTTAATTCATTATGAACCTATATGCACGTAACAATATTTAACCGTTTGAGTCCGGTGCGCGCTTCACTTGTCGTATGCCAAAAATACGGCGCAGCGCGATAGCGTTTCTCTTGTTTTGTATCGAGAATGCGAAGACGCAGTTGTTGGTTAGTATACTTGAAAAAAAAAATTATTGAAATATTCAATTGGTTTCGCATCAGGAGGAGGAGCATGCTTTCGTCCAGGTACTTCAGAAAAAGTATTCGATTCGTTCGAAAAAATTGTATCCACGGGTAAAAACTCATCAATAATATCGTCATAAGAGGTACTTGCAGTTACTTCATCATCATCACTGCTATCACTAATAACTCGTAATCTCTTAGAACGAATGATGATGTCACTTCCACTATTACTTTCAATACTTTCAATTTTAAGTCAATACTACACATACTCTTCATTATCACTTCTCATAACATAGTCACTTTCAAATGAATCAGAACTTGACATGGGTTATTTTGTAATTATCAGTATAACACTTGGTAAAAAAATGAAAACAATTTCCAATTCCTATAAAACAACTGCTACTGATATCACTACAACTGCTCTCAATAATTGCGTAAAGTATACTAACCAACAGCAGCGTCTTCGCATTCTCGATACAAAACAAGAGAAGTGCTATCGCGCTGCGCCGTATTTTTGGCATATGACAAGTGAAACACGACAGCACTTCGCTGGACTCAAATGGTTAATTCAAGAAAAATCCCAATTAAGTTGCTCAGAAGACATATATTCTGCAAACATAAAGAAAAATTTTCATTTCTATTATATTGTGACAGTTTAATCTTAATATGCAGCCATATACTTTCTATTAATATGGACCACCGTTAGTTTCTCCTCAAATGTAACACTTTGGTTGACAGGGTTAAATTTCCAAGATTTGAAGTGTTGGAGCCTATGGAAGAGTAAATAAAACTAAGTAATAAATAATGAATTATTAAAATTAAATAAAGTGTAAAGACATAAAAAATTGATAAATTAAGGGTAAATGGTGATATAATAAAAAAAAAAATAACCACAGCTCACTTTTTCTAGGGCTCTGACTTGAATTATGATTTCACTCAAAAACTGAGAAGTGCTGGAGCCATACTCCAGTGCATTTCAGTTAAATTTAAGCAATGGGTTGACTGTTAAATAGGCAGCCCAGGATTTACATGTGTAAATCTACACTTGAATGGCTCTAATAAGCTGGCTCAGCTCCAGCATTTTCAGCAGCCTAGGCAATCAACACAGTTGCTGCCCCACAAAAAAATACTTTATTAATTTAAACCAAAATATATTTTTATTTAATTGTGGATTTTATTTTCCACACTTAATCTGTGCCTCTAAAATTTGGTGCTCCAAGACCTATGTCGCCTATGCTTGGAGTGACTCTGGTAATAAGTATTCACCAATCATGCACAACCACTAAGGAAGATTCTATTCCTACACACATTCCTGTTTGAACTAATGATATCACAGTGACAGCCCTAATAATATATTTTATTTTTAAATTTACTTTCATCAGTTTCAATCGTTTTGCCAGAAGCACCAATCATGTGGATGTAATTTTTGATATAATCAAGAAATATTTGAAAGCTTCTGGTGATTCTTCAGAATAATTGTGACAACATATTCTTTTGAATCAGATCAGGTTATTTAAAAATTCAAGCAAAAAAATTCACCCCCTTTTTAGTGAATAAAAAAGAGAAAAAAATCCTAGTGAGAATATCATTTTCCCACATAACTACAGATGGCTGATAAATTGATAAGAATTAGCTTAAATATTTTAATATTATTTGGGCATATTTTTCAGTGCTATATTAAAAAAAAGTGTATTCCAAAAAGAAAAAAATACATAAAATATATAAATAAACTGTTACGATAAAATTGCAGTTATAATAAAGAATTACATTTATAATTGTAAGGCATAATAAATTACAGTTATAATTGTAGAAGATTACAGTAAGTAAAAAGGAACATGAAATAAAAACATATAAACAATATGACTGTTATATAATAGCAAATTATTAAGTAAAATAAAGTATAGTCATTTACAATAAATAAATAATAATAATATATGATTAATATAATTATAAATTAAATTAAATAAAGGCTAAGGAAATAATACAAAATATTATTATACAATGGTAAAATATACTTGCAGTGAATTATAAAATAACAATAAAAAAATCGCTAAAAATGGCAAAGAAGCATCAAATGACGGATTACACTATCAATGAAATAAAAGATGAATAACATAAAGAACATTTAGTGGAATCTCCTGCTATTCCAAATCGTGTCTCTAATGTATGGAAAATCACCATAAAAGACGGACAACCAGCCAAATGAAAACCAAGTTGGAAAGAAAATGGATTTACAGAACAGAAACAATAAAACATACCTGCAAAATTATCAAGAAATTCGAACCATTCAGTATCAATTCAACTAAAATTTAAAATTACACTCTTTGAGTTTTTACAGCTGTTTTATTAAGGACCATCTTAAAAATGCTAAAGCAACAACAACAAACAAAGAAACTGTGAAATGTATTCATTTAAGGTTTTTTAATAATTGCCCATATGTAATATCAACACATGAGATTTTCAGAATTTAGGTACGTAAGACCATTTCTTTCATTTTTTAAAAATAAATTTACTCTATTTCTGTTAAAGAAAAAGAACAAAATTTCTATTTCCTTTCCAGGAGTTCTATTAGTTCCTTTCCATTAGTTATGATGAAACTGAAGCTATTAACTGAAAACAAAACACAAACAATGATGACACACAAACATGAAAAGCAATCAATTAACCCTTTGATGGTTATGAATGAGTTCAGCTCGCAATCGAATCGTGCTTCATAATGCACACAAACGAGTTCCGCTCGGGAGCAAGATTTTGACCGAAATGGTTAGTAACGAGCACTACTCGCGTAGTAAAATTTTTCCCCAATGCGCGCTGACGAGCTGACTTCGTTCGCCATTATTATTCTGCACTGATTGTGTTTCAAACGAATGCTACTCACGAAATTTAGTTAGTTTTACTGTCTACAGATGGCAGTACGAGTTCCATGAATTTCTTTGCATAATGAAGCTGGATTTTTTTTTTGACCTTGTTCATTTTATACGTATTTTGGCGCGGTTTTTAGGTTTAGGGTGTTTGTACAGTAAAATGGCTCAAAAGCGAAAGTTAGATAGTTATGATGATGATTATGATTGTGATACAGAAAACTTATCAAGTTTTGAATTTGATGAAGACTTTGTTTACAGTATTTCAAGCTCAGAAGACGATTCAAGCGATGAGGAAGATTTTTCGAGTGTTCGACAGTGGTGTATAATTGATTCAAGTTCTCATGCTCCTAGCCGATTTAGTTTTACTGGTGATGTAGGCATGAAAGCTTGCGTGACAAATATTTCTGATCCACTAGAGTATTTTGAGCTGTTTTTTACTGATGAGATTATAAATCATATTGTTACGGAAACCAACATTTTTGCATAATGCCCCATTATGTGCAATTCCATGTTTTAAAGTATATCACACACAAAAAGATTTTTAGGTAATTACTGTATTTATACTGTGCTTCATAAAGTTTTACATTAGTTGTATTTATTTAGTCCTTTCAATTTAATATTTGTCTTATATTTATAATTAACTATTATTATTTATATAATTGGTTATAATCATTTATAATTTACTGTTTAGTAATTATTTTAAAGTATGTAAAAACTGTTATTTATGTACTACAAATACTTTAAGAAATTTTTAAAACGTGTGAGGCGAGCTATCTACGGCATCGCCAGAGAAAGGTGACATTTTCGGAAGAACGGCGGCGGAAAACAGCTGCCACTTTCGACTACTGTTTACTCCTAATGCTGCGCGAATGAAGTAAACGTAAACTGCTGATTCCCATAACCGTCAAAGGGTTAAGTATTTAATTAAATGCAAAAATATATTCATTAAAACAACAAAAATAAATAAATAACAGGCCAGTCAAAGAAAGAATTTAAACAATAATGGCCTTTTTAAAAATGATAAAAAAATTATAGAATCGAAGATAATAGAATCACAAGTGATCCTATACCAATAAAATGTCTCTGTATTTGAAATTAAAAAGAATGGGGGATTGATATTCCCTTACCTCAGTATTTTTTACAGGAAAGTTTTCCAGAGTTTGAGATGGCCATGGTCCAATGGATGTAGGCACTGTTCCACCGGTTTTAAAATTGTACTTCTGTTTCAATGAGTGTCCAGTATAATGCATACCAGGCTGAAAATGCTAACTTTTAATATAATCTTAGCACTGTAATACACCTACAGCAGCACAATGTTTTCAGTATAAGTACTTTTATGTTAATGGGACAGCAGATAGCACTAAATATAAATATTGGTACTAAATGTAGCCTGAAATAGTAGCAAGTAACAATACACTCAATGCATTGTAAGTAACAATACACTCAATGCATTGTTTCCCAAAATAAAAAGCATATAAGTACAGTAGAATCCCGCAAACTCGACTCCCGATATCTTGACAACATTTTAGGAACTTTTTAAAGATATTTTTAGGCCAAACAGAGCAAATATTATATACAGACATATAATTATTATTTATGTCTTTTCTGTTTAGTTCAAAGATTTGAGTGTTCTTTTTCTGTAATTTTTGCTGTTTTCACATTGTGCCATTAATTCTTGGAACTGCCTAAAAAATTTCAAGATATGTTGTAATATTTGCAACACTGTTTGCTTCGAAGTAAAGTTAAAATGATGACCTATACTGAAGGAATGAACGCTGCTGAAGGAGTGATCTGTTATATGAGAAGCCAGGTGCATCTGGTATGGACATTTTGTTCCTCTGTTGCCTAATGGGATGAAGCTGCACAATGATCGAATGAGTATGAGAAACAATCTACCACCACATGATATTTTTCTATCAAGAACTAATAACTTTTCTTCATTTTTTGTATGTAAATTTTTTTACTCAATTATCTTAGGGTATTTGTTCTTTTTATGACTCCTATTGTGATAGAACTTGACATAAAAATCAACGTTCATTTAATTGTATGTTGTACTTTTCCATGTCCAATATTGTGCTACAAATGTCCACAGAAATTTACAGTTAAATATTAAAAGAGTTCTGAAAAACCCACCCTTATTCCATAAAACTTGACTTTTGGGAAACTTGTCAGTCTCTCAGACCACATTATGTCACGTTTGCGGAACTCTACTGTATTTAAGAAAATGATTACACAGTTTCATCAAGTGAATAATTCACAATGCCTTCTTTTCTTCATGACATGACTGTTGCACCATTTCACTGCTATAGACACTAAAATGTGATTTGATCTGCTATAGACACTAAAATGTAATCTTGTGCTTATTCAAACTACAGCTTTCAGTTTGGATAATTTCTTTTCACCGAAAGAATTTAACAGCAGACTCTTCATCTTTTTGCAAATGCCATAAAATCAATCTCAGTTTCATTCTAAAAAAATTAACATAATCCCCAAAACTCTCACAAAAACTGTCCATGGGTCAAAAAATGATGAGCAATAATATTTAGTGCATTTAATGGTACACAGCTGCTATTTATTGGAATGCTTCTATGCATTTTATTTACTGGCCCATTAATGGAAATATTTAAATACATTATGTTACTCGTATATTAATGTTTTTAATTAATTTATTTCATAACCAATTTTACTTAACCCTTTCACCCCGAATGGTACACAAGTGTACCACTGATATTTAAAAATATCTGCAGGACATATTTAACATTATAACTAAATGAAAAATGTAACACTATGGTATTTTAAGTATCACGACATCACCCCAGTGTATAACACTATGCAGATTTCACTAAATGTAAGGTTATATTTGTTAATAAACCTGTGAGCACCTGTATTATACATTTTCCAGTAAATTTGTGCTCCAGTACACATGTGTACGAGGTGATAGCATTCTATCGACAGATAATGGGAGCAGCTGACCGAGCGTATCAGTTTATAAGTCTGTATGAACACAACAGAAAATCAACTAAGTGGTGGAAAAAGGTGTTCTACATTTGTCTTAGTATGACAGTCATAAATGCATGGATCTTATTGTAAGGAGTACTACTTGTAAGGAGTACAATGTAAGGAGTACCAATGGAAAAGTTCCGTTCCTTTCTTGATCACTCTTGCTAAAGAGCTAATATCTGAAGGAATGAAAAATACTTCTTTGCTTCCACCAAAATGAAGGCCTCCAAATAAAAAACAAAAGCTTTATGGTAGCACGCATTTACATCTACCTGTGGAAGGCTCAACAAGAAGAAGATGCATGCAATGTGCACAAAGGAAACAACAAAGAAGGGCAAAAACACTTTGTCAAGAGTGCGACATACCATTGTGCAAAGATTATTTTATACAAATAAAATCTATTTGGTAATCATTTTTCTTTCAATAAAATTAAAATTTAGTTGAAATTTTTTTTTTTTTTTTGCTATTTGGTTCCTACTGGTACATCTGGATACCACTTTCAAAACCTGATGGTACAAATATGTACCCCATCCTTCCCCCTTCCCTATGAAAAAACACTGAAAAATAACAAAACCACAATGAGTAACCTTATAATAATAGAAATTTCTTTTGTTTTTGTCTGAAAATCTATTATTCATATTCAGGGACAAAAGAGTTAAAATATATTAGATAACACAAAATTTTTTTTATTTATTCTCAAATTAGTAATGCAACAATAAAAAAAATATGCAGTATAACAAAGCTTGAAACTTTAAATATGGCATCAGCATTGCAGTGCCCGTGGTGCATTTCAAATGTATCTCCAAACATGTATTATTTTAGGTACGTACTTTTAATTTTTATTTTTTAGTTATTGCATGCATGTATAACTTTTATTTTGAATTAATATACTTTCAGAATAAAACTGTATTTTTTCTACACATTTGTGATTAGGTTAGGTTATTTAATTACGGCAAAGGCTCAAGGGCTATCTGCCTAAGGAGAGGGATGCCTTCGTCGAGGACTTTTTAAGATAAACTGGCTCGTATCACGTTACACATGGGGAAAACCACGAAAACACCCATACAGCCAGCCCGTTCGCGGGATTCGAACCTTGGACCGAACTACCAGTGTTCAGCGACTTTACCCGCTCAGCCGCTGGGGGGCCCACTTGTGATTAGAATACTATATTAAGAATTTTCTTTTCAAAAATTACACTAAGCACTATTAAAGTGCCATACTAATGAAAAAGTTGCTGATCTATGCTTAAGATAATTTTTACACCAAATAACAGAAGTCCTTAACTGATTTTTCTCTTATGGAATATACCTTTTTCAAGAGATACTGAAACTAACCCAATACAAAGTCTGAAATCTGGATGTCCAATATTTGCAATGGTCTAGTACCTAGACCTCTGGATCACTAGCAAAAAAAGTTTTTTTTTTACCCCAATAAAAAATTTAGGAATGGGAAAAAAATAATCCTCAACAAAAAGCAGGTGTGCCATAAAAATGATTTTTCTCTGGACTAACTGACATTCTTAGATGTCAAACCTCTGCAGGCTAGAAAGTCAAACTATGGCCAATGACAGTACATTGACTTTTCGCATCTGAGTAGTTTTGAGAGGTTAGCATTAATTATTATTATTATTTTTTTTATCTAACCTAAAAGTAAGTGAAGCCCAAAGAAATGTTTGAGTGGGATATTGCTCATCCTTTTCATTTGTTGGCACAGAAAAAGAAGAAAGAATCTGAAGAACTTAAGTTCAGTTGACTTAAATGACACTCTTCCTTAACTTCTTATTTTGAGCTTACTATTTTTTGCAGGTTATTATTATTACAGTTATTATTACAGGCATTTAAAGGAGTAAAAATTTTCTCTATCACCTATCAATCAAATAAAAGAGCACAAATAACACAAACATTAAAGTATTAACCATCCTTTAAGGTATTAACCATCTTTTAAGGTATTTACCACACTTTAAGTATTATTATATACCATACTTTAGGAAAATCACTTCAAATCTGAGGCTCAACAATAATTCAAATCAAGTGTCACCAGATGATGCCAAAATTGTCCCAATTATGTATAACACTTTGGCTTATACTTCACTGAAAGTTTAAGATAATATCTTTGTCTTATTCTTCCCTCCAAACTATATATCCATCATTCAGCTGATGGATATTGGATTGCTATGCAAGCTGAAATGCAAATATAATATACCCTTTTTATAATCTATACTTAAGTTTTTTTAACAGTAGCATGGCCATTCAAGATTTTTTTAAATATTTTAACATAAAAGCATTGCAAGGTCATCATGGTAGGACATACCTGAAGACATTTTTAAAACTGCTTGGGATAATTTATTACCAGGTACCACACTTCAATGCTGGTGACGTTAGCCATGAATTTGAAGATTTTTGGATATCACAAGTAAAAAGCAAAATTTTTCATTTAAGATTCGTGGAAAAGTAATAATAAATAAGCAGACAATATAACAGATACTTTTTATTGTGATGATAATGCACTAAACATCAATAAATTAGTTTGTAACTGAACAAGAAATTATGTTTATAAAATTAAAGAGAAAGTATTTGTACAAAAGATGAAATATTTTAAACAACCTATATTGAAAAAAAATATTCAATAAAACAAACTGGAAACATTGATGGTCATTTTTGAGAAAGTTCACAGGAGACAATACAACTCCTAAAAACTCATATTACTTAAAAAAAAAAAAGAAAGAAAGAAAAAAAAAGAGGGTAACGAATAATAACATTTTTTAACAGAAATTAAAATCAGAATATTTCTTCTTTGGAAAAAAAAAAGTTTGAGTGCTTGTTTTTTCAGAAATCTTGAGAAGTTAGTTGTGCTGATGGACAAGTATCAAGTATGATTTCTGTCACAAGCAGAATTTAGTTTAATGCATATTGTACACTAAGACACATTCTTAGTTTTATTGTGAAAACTTATATTTTATGTTTAATTATTGTGAAAATTCATATCTGCATACTTAATCAAGGCCACTATAAAAAGAAAGCTTGATGTTCATGGTTTTCAAGACTCCTAAACAAATGAATATGGATTCGCAAAACAAGACGTCTGTACCGTATGTGTGTTATGTCACGAAAGTGCCTTATTTCGCATGCGAAGTGTACGAAGACATTTTAATACTAAACATCAGTTCACATTTCAGAATTCTGATGAGAAATGTGAAATGATAAAATCAGCTGTTATTAGATATAAGAAACAAGTTACCTTTTTTTTTTTTTGGTCAAACAATCGGAACCAAACCTAAAGCGATCGAATGTAGTTTTGTAACTGCTCATTGTGTAGCTGCCAAAGGCAAATCTTTGTCAAATGGCGAATATATAAAGGACACATTTTTAATAAGTGTTGAAATATTGTTCAATAATTTACCATATCTACAAGCAATATTATCTCAAATTCAAGAAATACTGGCTTCTGCGTTAACTACTGAAAGATGAATAACTCAGGCAGAAATTATAACAGCAAAACCTAATTCTGGATTACAAGAAATTGCTGCATTTAGCATTGCTCTTGACGAAAGTACCGATATGAATGATGTTGCACACCTTGCAGTAATTGTCCAATATTGCAATAAAGATCGAATTTATGAAGAATTATGCAACTTGATTCCTCTGTCTGGGACAACTATGGGACAGGACATTCTTTCTTCATTCATAAATTTTGGGAAGTAAGTAAGAACACTAAGTAAGTAAGAACTTTAAGTAAGAACATTAATATACATAAGATATTTTGTGTAACATATGTGTTTTGCTGCTCCTGCAGTAGTTGGCAAGGAAAGAGTATCTGTCACATTTCTTAATCACATTGGGCGTAAAGTATTGAACTTCCATTGCATAATACATTAGGAAAGTTTAGTTGCCAAAATTTTGTCAAAGAGCTTCATTTCTGTAATGAACACTATTGTTAAAATAATTAATTTCATAATGTCTCATTCTTCATTGGTACACAGACAATTTAAAGCTCTTTAAGAAGAAATTGAAGTGAATATGTAGATCTTCCCTTATATAACCAAGTCCACTGGTTTAGTTGAGGTAAGGTCTTGAATAAGTTTGTGTCATGCATGGAACACATTAAAGTTTTTCTTAATGAGAACGAACAACATTACCCCGAACTGAACAATAAAGAATGGTTATGCTAATTGATGTTTCTGACTAATATAACTAAACACCACAGTGAACTGAGGACTGTAAAGAAAAGGCCAGAAAGTTCTTGAATGTTTTGAATATTGGGAAGGCTTTGCAACAAAATTAAATATATTTTCCTGTGATATTAATACTAGTACCAACAAATACTTCCCAAATGTTAGAGCACTTAACTTCAGTGATAAACTTCAAACCTACGCTGAAGCATTTAAGGAGAAATTTTCTAAAACATGCAAAGACTAAGAAGCTTGTAGGCCTATATTTCCTTTCCTAATTAAACCAGATTTAATAGACCAATTTATAATTCCATCTGATTTGTCAGTTTTTGAATGGTTTTTGAAAGTTGATAATTGTGAAATAGAAACCACTGAAATAACATCTTCAAAGTTATGTAAAGCAAAATTTATGGAACTATGGAAAATAACTAAAGATAAATGATCAGCTATTTTTAATTGCTAGACAGATTTAATTGTTTGAAGAAAATAGCATGTGCTTTGCTTACTGGTTTTGCTCTATATTTCTAAGTGAATAAATCTTTTCTCACCTGAAAAACATTTTAGCCCCCGAAGAAGTTGTTTAGCAACTAAATATTCAAAAATCATATGTCAAATTGAGAATCACAAATTATACCCCTCATATTGCAAGAAACTTGTAAGTATTAATATGAGTAATAATAATATTAAGTAGAGCAGAGCAGGAACATAGTTTGCATTAAAATTAAAATATTTTATTTAAATAAATATGTTTAAAAGCTACGTAATGCATGTACAATTTTAATATTTTATTTATGTTGAAGGAATAGTTATATTTATTTTGTTTATTTTAATGTTAATAAATACCTTTAATGATGCATAATCAATATATAATAAAATTCTAAATCTGTATTCTTGACCTCTATTCCCTAATTCTGCATGCATTGCTGCAGGAATACAATTGTTTCAAATATTTCCTACTGTGCAGTATATGAATCATACTAGTAGATTGGTTTGGCACACCACAGCTGAAGGTTGCTGACCCCTGCTATAGATAATGTCTTTCTGAGTTTTCTTTAAATATTCCTCTTTTTTATTTTTACATTAAATCTGAGAACTATATATTCAATAAAACAAATAAATATTTAGCTTTTTATTATATATTTTTTACATTACATATTAAGTACATACATTGCTTGTACATAAGTCATGCCGAACGTTACACTTCTAACTGTTGACTTTTATAACAGCCAACAATACAATTTTTGCACAAGAACCAAACATTCATAGTGAAGCAAATATAAACTGAGATTCAATCTATGATTTCACTCAGCTGCACACTCATTTTCTCCAATTATTTATGGATGATCTGAGGCCTAAGGAGTTGCTGAGTTAACAATAATTTGTGACATTTAAATTACTGGAAAGTAAAAATGAATATACTTTTTTAGATATTGTAATGTTAATATCTCTATGCAACTCTTATTTGAATGTAGATTTCTTTAAAAAAAATAATATTGTGATAGTTACATGCAGTTTATGACTACTTTTCATTTGTTATGTTCTCACTATAACTGTATTCTTCATAAATTAAATATTAGAATAAATTTCTCCTCTCAATTTTTGGACAATACAATTAGTAAAAAAAGGGGGGAATACGTGAGGAAATACAGTAAATATATTTAAATATAATTATTATGTACACAGAAAATAATGTCAGTGCAGTGGAAAAATGCAGTAGAGAAATTTAAAAAAAAAGGAGGAGGGGATTTTTTTAGAAAATAAAGAGCTTTTTTTGTTAAAAAAAAAAAAAAAAAAAAAAAAAAAAAAACCAATGGTATAAGAATGAGGCAAATGAGGAATCTGCATCAGATGAACTACTGGTAGAGGCACAAAATTAGCTATCAAAAATTAGCAATAATTTTTTTAAAAAATTATGATTTTAGAAAAGGATTTATGATTAATGAATGCTGATCTCATTCTGTAATTTACAAAATGAACTCGCTTTCAGTTTGAGAAAGAATTAGTATTAATAGATTAATCATCAAAATATGCTGGAAAAAAGTAAACTGAATTTAAGAAACTGAAGTCTCTCTATAAATTGTAACTTGATAATAAATTATACTGAAACACATAATAATTGAAGAGCTTGCAGCAAGAAGGACCCAGCTCCACTTTGGTAGATTTTGTGTTCATGGGTCTTTTTTTGTATAAAAAAAATCGTTCTTTGCAATGGAGTAAAAAGCCACTGGAGTAGCTGTAAAAAATCCTTTTTTACTAGCAATTTTAATGAGGACAAACGTTTAAAACATAAGTTAAAAAATGAATTTTTTAATTTTTTAAAAATTTTTTCTGAGAATTTAAAAATGTGCAGCTGAGCTCTTCTTGCTGCAAGCACTTGAACTGCTATTAGAATAGATAAATTTATGGAATATTTTAAGTAGCATAATTACTCAACATACAACAATTTTTAATACAAGCATTTATATAAAATAAAACAAAATATTTATATTTTATATAATAACTAATAGATATAAATTTATCTTTAAGAGTAAAATTTAGATTTTTTAAAATTTTATTCACATGAGATATTTTTAATAAAAAGTGAAAACAAATTCTCCAGAATGACTGCATATGAAATCATTTTAATGACAAAGATTCAGGAAAATTAATTACCTTAGCCATTGCTTGCTCTTTCTCTTGAATTGTTTCTTCTATTTCCCACAATCTTTCTCTCAAAAGATCCATATTTGGTTCAACTTCATTCATCTGCTATTTATTATTTTAAATACATAATAATTACATGCTGCTTAAATTATTTAAATTAAAAATAGATCTATATATAAAAATACACTATTTTTATTTACTTTCAATAAGTGTTAACTCCTCAAATAATAAGTTATTTTCTTTAAACCTGAGCAAAATTATCTCATACTTCAGGAAACTTGAAGCACAACAATAACAAATACATAAAATAAAAGCCATATATTATAAATTGCATTATACCTTAACTACGGTAGCTGGTTTAATAGTTTTAGAAAACTTTAATACAACACAAATTTTAAGAATATAGGATATAATATTACTTCAGAATCATTATACAAAATAAAAATAACTATGTTTACGTATGAAACTACATAAATACTAAGAGATGATATTCAAACTGAAAAAATCTTAATATTTCATGCATGAATAATCATGCCTTTTCCATCCTAACCTAAAATCTGCTAAATGCTTTAAATGAAAACTTCTCAAAGATTAGTTTTATTCCCATGCAACTAAAACATTCATTAAAAAAATGTTATTGTAATTTCATTGGCCCGGCCCCGTATCACTGTTACGATGTCGAAGCAGCGTGTGATAAGGTCGCATAAAGGATTAACATGAACAAGGATGTCTCGAGAGCATAAGACGAGTATTATTATTATTTAACTTCCGAATACGTTTTCAATAGTTGTTAAGTTGAATTAATTGTTTTAAAAATAATATTAATATGTTGGCATTGTTGTAAACGCAGGCTCGAGAGCCATGTATGGCTCTTGCACGTAAAATGTAGAGATATTTGAATTTGTTTGAAAAAAATAGGAAGAATAGGTTTTTCTCTTGTTGATTGTATGTAGCAATTTATTTTTGGCGATCAATAAAATTTTCAAGTGGTGTTCGATCATTAGAGTTTTCATTGGAGTTCAACACCACACCACAAGCCCAAGTGCACCATTCATTATTTTGCAGAGAGAATTGAAAATACCATATTCAGTGTTTATCTGTGTTACCTCCTGAAATAATCCGCTCTTCTCTCACTTGTTTTCATTAAAAAAGATTTTGGGAAAATGTATCAAATTTAAACTGCTAATATTAGATACAAATATATCAAATGTATTACATTTTTAATGTTAATAAAAATCTTTTAAATGTTTTTAATTATGCACTTCACTTTCAAAATTTTATTTGTATCTTCTAAAAAATACAAATGCATTTTTCATTAAATTCACATTTGCTTTTTAAATTTGTTTTTCATAAAGCAAAAATTCCAGATTTTGCTTTAATTAAAAAATTTTAGTATTGAATAGAAGTTTTTATCATCCTCCTTTTTTTCTTATAAGAAGAATTTAAGAAACTCACTAACTAAAAAACTAAAAACTGAAATGCTTAGTGAGGTCCGAGTGAGTGGATCAAGATCTAATTTAGAATGCTATAAAATTTACAAACAATCTGATATTGTAAAATTCATCAGATTACAGAGACTTAAATGGGCTGGCCATCTGGCTAGAATGAATGAAGATTGTTGCTGCAAGAAAATCTTTCTGGCAAAGCCCATGGGAAATAGACTTCGGGGCAGATCCCTGCTAAGATGGATTGACTGTGTCAAAAAAGATCTTAATATTTTCAAGGTTAAAAACTGGAAAACAGTCGACAAACATATAGATTTCTGGAGAAGGTCAGGGCCCATCCAGAGCTATTGAGTTATTGAGGAAGAAAAATTTTGTAATGCATAATTTCCAGTCTCCTGCCATATATCTTGATGGCATTTTCAGACATAAAAAAAAAACTCTTGTTTGCACACACACGCGCGCGCGAACAAAAAAAAAAAAAAAAAAAAAAAAAAAAAAAAAAAAAAACCCGATTAACTGCAACAAAAAAAGATTACAAAAAGAGAACGCTGTCACTCCTTGGATGATACTCTTTGGATTTCAGGAAACAAAATACTGACCATATGAAAAAGCTCTGAAAAAGATATATGCAAAGCTAAGTACAGGACTTCAGTTAGGGTTCTAGGGAAAAATGCCCAAACAGAAACATGCCCACATAGAAAAATGCTCACATGGAAAAAAGCTCACTTGGATATATGCTCACATGGAAATAAGCTCACTGATAAGTAAAATGCATAGAAATATCCTTTCATTAATCAATAAATAATTAATGGATTTGAACATCTTTGGATGATATTCTTTGGACTGGAATTTTACTGGACTCTCTGGATTTTTACTGGAATTTTTTTAAAGAAAAATTATTTACATTATCAACACATCTATAAGTATATATTTAAAAAACTATAACTTATGTGTAGATTCAATTGATATATAATATTAACAAATGGGCTGTTTTGAATTAAGAACAGGGGAGGAAGAAGGAAGTAAAAATGAAACAGAATGCACAGTTAAAAATTAATTACAATTTTAATTGTTAAAAAATAAAATAAAAGTAAAAATAAGTTACACATTTTATAAAAGTAACACATTTTATAATAGCTACATATTCATAAGTTACACATTTAGAAGAATAAGCAAATAGAAATAATTGTTTTTATTAAAATTAAGCAAAATACCTTATTATATATAAATCAAAAATTTATATTTTGAAAAATATGTAAATACATAAACTTATTGAATATTAGCTAATACATCTAAATATCTAATTTTATCATCAAGTTCATTATAGTTTTCTTACATGATTCGCTATTACCAAATGTAAGTTTATATATATATATATATATATATATATATATATATTTTTTTTTTTTTTTTACTTCAATACGTTCTATATTTGCATTAGTTAATAACAAGCACTGATATGCTAAATCTTTTTTCAGTTCGTCAAATAAAAAACCACATACTGGGATAGCTACAATTAAATAATGAATTTAGTGCGTTATGAAAGCCTTCGTAACAATTTGTGGTTTTAGGAGATTTTTCAAAGGCTGCTTCATAATGATTCCACACTTCGACTGGAAAATGTGGTCTTCTACCTCTAGGCCCCTGGATGTATGTAAAAAAAAGTATGTAAGAACTTCATTGTACCTATCTTTGTTGGGATATGTATCAGCAAGTTGATCGTAAACTTTTCTTACTTCATGCGGTGGAACAAACGATAAAGCCACAAGTGATTTTAGCTTTATTTTGCAATCGATGCTTGTTTCATTCTTCAAACCAACATTTGAAATTTTTCATTTCACTTATGCAAAATCAAAATTTGGCATAAGTGAAAATAACATCCTTTTATCTCAGTGTGTGGAAAAGCAATGGCAGCAGCGTTCATACTTGCTTTTTCAAAATCGACTAAAACTTTGTCTGGAGCCAAATCCAGAAGTAAATTTTTAATTATATTAAACATTTTTGTATAGACACCTTTGGTCTTCTTTGTTAACAAATAACATTAACATATATACAAGGTGGATAAGAATTACCAACCTTTGCATGCCAAGTGTATAGTTGATAAAACAAATTGGGAATTTTATCAAAAGTACCATCTCCATAAATTGTATCTTTTTTAAATTCCAATAACAATTCTTTATCACCAAGCACCAAAATTCTATCTGGATCATCAACACCACTATCAAATAGAATTAACTGAATGTACTTATCAGGTACATTAAAATGTATATTTCTTGGATTTGGTGTATGGTCAATTTTTTTGTGATTTCGAAGACTCTGAGCTAGAAAAGAATTTTTTGGCAAATATAGCAATACTTCATTACTGATTTCACTCATCACATCACCCATAACATTTTGAGGTGTAGCTCCTACAGCTTTGATTGCTTCCTTCATTTCATTCTTTGCAATATTGGCCTTTACCTTCCGTACGCAAGAATCATGGCAATGATTTGATGGTTCCTGTATTATTTCTTCTCCTTGAGTTTACATCATTGACTTGCATTTTGCTGATCGGCTTTGTCAACATCTCCAAGTAATGATACTGTTAGTAACTTGAAAATATAAGTAATCGAAACCCAGATATATTAATGCACGTTTTCCTTTTTGGGTAGTTGTGAATTCCATGTTTCTAAAAAAGGTTTAGTAGACACTAAAATGTATTTGTTTCTTTCTTCATCCCCTCAACACTGATGATAAAGTACAAATAGTTTAGACAACTTTATAGAATGATGTCAAAATCCCGCACACTCATAGGGGGCCTACATCGTTAGCCCTGAAAGACATCCCATTATGCAGCTAAAATAAAGATTGATTGATGGCTAATTTGGTCATGCTTTCTTCACCAGCATTGTAATACGACCACAAAGGAAAGCTTACTTACACACACAGGAAATAAGAATGACCCTTTTGTTAGGATACGTGATACTTCCGTCTGCGCACACGCATAATGGATTGAACTAATAAGGAAAGATTGCGCGAGTTTTTATCGTGTGCTCAACGATTTATGATATAATCAATGTCATATTTTTAGTTAGTTTGTTTTGAATGTTTTAGAAAATGATTGTGTAGTTTTTGATCTCTTGTAATAACCTCTTTGTTATAACTTGTGCACAGATTAAAGCTTTAAAAAGCTGATCCTGTATGTATTTTTGGGATATACCTGAATGAAGAACCTGATGATTCAGATAAATGCTGTTTTACTTACCTACTGTTGGAATGCTTTCCGCATTAATTAATATGGTATATTGATAGGGGGCACAATACCATTTTCACAATCTATCAGATTGGAACTACTGCTGATTTGAAAGCATGCTTTTAGGGGATTGTCTTTGTTAGCTTTAAGATAAGAGACTAAGCAACTCAAAATTTTACCTGGGTAAGAATACAAGTAGGATGTTATCAAAATAAATCTTCACAGTTGGTGAAAGAGATTATTTCTAAGGCCAGATTTTTTAAATTGAAAACACAACTAATTCCCCGTGTACCACAGAGTAACACATGGGATGAGGCTAGTTTCAAATGCAAAGCATTTATCTTTGGAAGAAAAAACGAAGAAGCAAATATTTGAGTTTTATATGTCTGGTTATAAGAAAATGTTATATTTGTTAAATTTTTGTTATAATAATACTATTGAATTTAAAGCATTTAGAGAAGCTTTTCCCACATATTTTACATAAGTATGTTCAACTGAGTGCCATCATAAATGTCCCTAAAATTGTTAATTTTATTTCTAAAATTTTTAATTTCTGGAGAAATTTTAGAACTTTTTTGGCTCCAAACATAAATAACTACATTCTTCTTTTCTGCTTATTACGTGCTCTGCCCTTAGGCACTACACGGAAAGGAAGGGATGCCCTGTGCAGGTCTTTTTAAGGGAAACTGGCTCATATCCATATTACACATGGAGAAAACCATGAAAACGCCCATGCAGCAAGCCCATTCGCCGAGGCTCGAACCCTGGATTGAACTACCAGTGTTCAGCGGCTTTAACCACTCGGCCACTGGTGGGCCCTACATTCAACTATTAATATCTATAGATTCTCATCAAAAGTATGAAGAAAATGAGTAAAAAAACAAAAATTAACTATTGGCAGTTACAAAGCAAAAACATTTTGCACAAGGGCAATGGCATAAAATGTTACAGTACATGCAAAATTTTACTACAGTTTTCATTCTTTTATATGCCGCCCCAAGAAAGGTTAATGTGAGCATTTGTCCATGTGAGCAAAAATTAACTATTGGCAGTTACAGGGAAAAAAAAAATTCGTACAAGAGCAGTGGTATAAAATATTACAGTACATGCAAAATTTTACTAGAGTTTTCATTCTTTTATTTGCCGCCCCAGAAAAAGGTTAATGTGAGCATTTGTCCATGTGAGCATATTTCTGTGTGAGCTTTTTTCCGTGTGAGCATATTTCTAAGTGAGCATTTGTCCATGTGAGCTTTTTTCTATGTGGGCTTTTTTTCCTATGAGAAAACATGTGAGAATTATTCTGTGAGCATTTTTCTGGACATCTTCAGCTAGTACTATGTATGAGGATCATGTTCTTAAATAAGATATAAACTTTCAAGGCTTCATACTTAATATTATGCATGAAAATAAGTTCTTTGAAAGATGATAGCTGATTTTAATACATCAGTGTCTAGACTTTTATGAGTTCAACTATTGTGGATTCTTGTTACCAAAACATAAAGCTCTTCTTTGTGCAAACACAATCTTTGATATTTAGCAACAGATCTTTGCTAATGCGCAAAGCCAAACTGCAGGTAACAGATAAAAATATCAATGCTTAAATATACATAGTATGGAAAACCAAATAATTTCTAAACATGAAAACTCACCTGCAATTCATATATATTGTTCTGTATATGATTCTCTGCTGAGTTAAAACTCTCCATGTCATTCATTCTGAAAACAGATTTAGAAGGAAACCTTAGACATAAAAGTAATGAAGAAATATAAGGGAGGAAAAATGCAGTTCTAAATTATTTCTCATTAAGTTTTTTTTTTATTTTTTAAATAAAAGTTTTCTAATTTAAGAATGAGAAAATATTCAGACCTTATCACATCTGTTTCTTCTGGAGGACACACAGCAACAGGAACTATAACTGAGGCAGAATCGATAATTGGCAAATGCTGTTCAGATATTATTGCCAGTGGAACTACAAAAAATTAAAATATATGTATATAAACATATAATAAAACTGTGGCTTTTGTAATTATGATTTATTTTGATATAATTTAAGCAATTAACTTGCATTTTATAAAAATATCATTACTGTTCCAACAATAATAATAAGTTTCAATTCAGATTTAAATGCTAAATCAATCTTTATTGTTTAATAATGTCTTATTTTTTAATTGTTTGGGAATCATACAAATAAATTTACATTTATAAGATGTATGTGATAAAACTTTACGGCCATGACTCAAGTTATTATCCAGGGAATTACAAATTTCACTTAAAAAGCTACTAATACTGATCACTCAACAATTATCATTCTCATAAATATTTTCAAAATCCATCATGCAGTCCAACATAGCCAGGTTTTGCAGGTAATTGAAATGATACTTGACAGTAAACTACATCTCATCACAATACAAACTTTTTTTTTTCTTTCTGTTTACAATACCTTTTACTTTTACACATTTGATTTCATTTTCTGGACATAAATTCAATGGCATAATACAATAAATTATAATTGTTTACTTTCATGCATATCATAATTAATTTACTTCTTTTTGTTGCTGTGCATTTGCAATACAATTACAAATCGTCGCATATATAATTTGATCACTAGAATGTAGCTGACATATAACTGTTTTAACACTTATTTTTAACTTGATTATATTATCGGATTATTATTAGATGTATGCATATTTAATTCTTATATGTTTACACTTTGGTTTGTATAAGCTGAGAGTGTTTGAAATTATAAAAGTTATTTCAAAACAAAATTTCTCTTTCAATTTCAATGCCAATTGTTTAACAGGCAGTAAACAACTAGAGGCACTGATGAGATTGGGAATTCATCAGCAGTTTAAAATATAAATAAGTGCATTTTTATTTTTTGATTTACATCTAAATTTGACCTCTGAAGTTTTGCATATATTTTATATATTTTTTTCATTTTGAACTCGTATATTACAATTACTTATAGTGGATCAAGCTACTGTAATTATCTGTGTGGCAGGGTAAAAGTGGACTTTACAAGGCTCCAGAATAGTGTTACTTCTGATTTAACTAAAAACGAAGTAATTTTGCATCTGGAGTGCTTGGAAAGAATTTATTTGGATTTTGATAAATTTGATACCCAGTTAAAAAAGGAGCAGTCAGAAACTGAAAAGATTGAAATAAAGTATTTAGTTTAAAACTTCAGCATGGAAACTTGTTATATTCATTGAATGAGGCTAATGTGCCAAATGTTCCAGAAAACTCTAATATAAGTAACTTTAAGTTATCGAAGTTGAATATTTCTATTTTTTCAGGTAACTTTGATGTCTGGATGATTTTAAGGACTTATTTGTGCAACAGTGTATAATATTTCTTTATCGAATATTCAGAAATTTTAGCATTTGATTAGATCACTTGCTAATGAACTGGCTTCTATAATTAAACATATTCCAATTAGTGTTAATTTATGGCAATTCGCTGATACTTCAGATGAAGTTATCATGGGCTTAAAAGCTCTTGCTGATAAAGCAATCTCTAGGGATCTACGGTAAATATTTATGCTGCTTCAAAAAGTAGATTCAGAAACTCGAAAGTTATGGACATAGAAAACAGTGGAAAAGATCGTTGTGCATTTGATTCAGAATCTTTATTTCCAAAATGATTCGCAATGTAATAAGGGAAAGAAAGCTTTACCAAGAAAGAGCCAACTACATTCTCTTTTTCTATTCATAGACAAAGATGGTTTCTTGCGAGAGGGAGGACATCTTCAAAATTTATTTTTAGCATTTAATGTCAAACATCCTATAATATTTCCTTCTCAACATAAATTTAGTGAATTACTAGTAAAAGAACATCATATTACCTTCATGCTGATCCTTTTTTACTATCCCACCTTATCAGGCAATCCTACTGGATAACTGAAGAGAAAAGATTAATACACAACTGCATTAAACACTGCTTAATATATCATCAAGTTAAAGCTGCTTCAACTCTGCAGTTAATGGGTGACTGACTTGAACATCATGTGGTTTCGGAACAACTTTTTTTGTATTTGGTGTGCACTATGTTGATCCTATTAACCTTAAGTTCAATAATAAATAAAAAATAATGAAAGAAAGTTGGACTAAAATAACAAAAGATTATATAGCTCTGTTTGTTTGCCTGTGAACTAAAGCTGTGCATATAGCAGCAGTTAGTGATCTGACTGCAGACTCGTTCATTGCTGCACTTAAGCGCTTCATTTTGCGTTCAGGTGAACTGTGGCACATTTATAGTGACTACGATACCAGTTTTGAGGAAGTATGCAAAAAAACTACATGAACTAAATCAAGATTTGGTCTTCATGGTATGCAACAGAATCACTGTCATGAGAACTACCTCGTCATCTATTGAATGACCTTTTATACTGCCTGCTTTACGACACTTTGAAGGAATATGGGAAGCTGGAATTCGCTCAATGAAATTTCATCTGAGAAGAGTATTGGAAAAGGCTCTTTTGATCTACGAAGAGTTATCAGCGCTACTTGCCCAGATTGAGGCTATTTTGAATTCTTGCCCACTTTCTTAGGTGAAAGATTCTGATATTGACACTACTAATGTTTTAACCCCATCTCATTTTATTACAGGCGATACTTGCATTCTAGACACACATCTCCTTGTTTGCATGAATTTTGGCGAAAACTTATTAAGAATCTTCAACACGGATTTTGAATTTGTTGGAAAAACAAATATTTGATTTTTCTTCACCATTGATCCAAGTGGCAACATGCCAAACCTAACTTGAAGATCGATGCAGTGGTTCTTGTCATCGAAGATTATTCTCCACCTTTAACATAGTCTAGGACGTGTCATCGATCTCCATCCTGGCAAAGACGGATTAGTTCGCGTAGCCACAGTCAAAACTAAGATTGGCCTCTTTGTGCCTTTGTATCAGGATTGAACCTGATAGGGTAGGAGTATGATAGGGTGTTTACTTTCATGGCTCTCGTAATTAATCTTTTTCTTGCCCTGCATTGGCAACACACTTAGGAATCATCGTATATAGAATTCGATCACTAGAATGTAGCTGACCTATAACTGCTTTAATACTTATTTTGAACTTAACTATGTCATTGGATTATTATTAGATGTTTATGCACAGATATTTAATCATTATATATTTACAATTTGTATAAACTGAGAGTAGTTGAATTTATTAAAGTTATTTCAAAACAAAACTTTTCTTTCAACTTCAGCGCCATTTGCTTAACATCCAGTAACCAATAATAATAATGGTATAATATGGTAACCTAATAACTCCCAATTACAAATACAGGAAACAAATTAATATAAATTACAACTAAAAGAATGTGCCTCTTGCAATATATTTCTAAATTAATGAGAAAGAGAAATACTTGGCGAAGTCGCAGCATAAAATGATGGAGCAAACGATGCTGATGGCAAAGGATGCCTTACAACAGATGTCGGACTAGTAAGTTCTCCCATCTGAGAGACAGCATTAACTTGAATAGGCATAGGACCCCGTATGAGACTCTTTGAGCACCTTGATATTGGACCATATTTGGAAACCAATGGTGGATCAAAAGGAATAAATTCATCTTTTTCTGATGGGCAGAATAAAGGACAGCTATGGCAATAGTTCCTGCAACAAAAATAAAATACCTATCAAAATTTCATCATAAAAAATAATTAAAATATTGAAAACATTAAACTTATTAAGAAGATATAAAATGCTTATTGATTTCATGGCAAGATAAAACATGATCAGCTACTGTCAAATTAGAGCAAATGTAAGTACACTTATGGAGATACACAAATGGAGGTGAAAAAAGAATTATAATCACTTACATGAAATTTACAAGCACATATGGTAAAAACTTGACTATCCGAAAAGATCGGGAAAAGCCAAATTCCAGATAGTTGAGCATGAATTCACATTAGAAAAAAACAGATTGGTGCTAAATCACACTGCTTAGTGGCAATGTGTGAGTGTTAATAACATTACAAGTTCTATAATGGCAACAAAAATCTCTCATTTACTAATTTTTTTAGAGGAAAAATTTTTCTAAAATTCTGGTTACTTGAGCTTTCCAATTAGCTGAATGCTGGATAGTCGGGCTTTTACTGTATACTGTATATGCAATTGTGCATTCAAGATCTAGTTCATAAAAATAATGTAATAAAAACAGTTCTCCTTTTCCATAGTAGTTTGAGCATACTTCATACTTAGATTCATTTAACCCATTTGCTGGCTGTATGGCCCATAACAAAAAGATGAAATAGTCAATCTTTTAATAATTTTATATATAATACCTTATATAAAGAAATAAATACTTAAAAACATTACATAAATAAACTATTACAAAAACACCCTTACACACATATCAAAATACAATGATTGAAAAAAATCAGAAAATCATGAAAGAAGAGTTTCTTTTGAAAGTGATTCTGCCATTCAGCTCAATAAATATATCAAAAACTTACTCTTAATTTATTAATGATTTAATAAGAATTTTTAGTTATGTGTATTCACTGATTATAAAACATACAATGATTCTTGTAAGAATTACATATTAAATGCAGAAACGTTATATTTAATACTAATTTAATTTCCTTATTTAGAAATTCTAATGCTTAATTCTGTAATTTTTGCAAATATTGATCACTATCTTCTTAAGCTGTGTTCAGACGGTGGTATAAATGTCACAGTGACTTGGTCATAAGGCACAAAATGAAGGAGTTCCATTCACACCTGTGAGACAGAGTATAAGCCTTAACAAATTAGAGAAGCTAAATTTGCATTATCTGTTTGTTGCTACAGCTCTTCCGTTTAGGTTTCGCATGTTTGCTCTGACTGGTCGACTTTTATATCAAGTCACCATAAAGCTGGATACTTTGAACTTTATGCCGAAGCTCCTAAACCAGTTTTTGTGACAAAGCAAGGTCTGGTTACCAAGCAAAAGCTCGGCTTAAACCAGTTATGGCATTTATACCCCCTTCTCCATCCTTCTTCTGACATTTATATTCCTTCTCTTCTTCTACAGAGCCTTATACTCCCTCCAATGCAACAAACTAAGCTGATTTTGCTAATGAAGATTATTCACAATATTACCAGAAATACATAGGTTATTCCAAATTATTATTATCAACAGGGATTTTGATATTGTTATTAACATGGATTCAGTCAATTAGAATTCTTTGATAAAATTCAGATTATAAAATGGATAAGAGTTATCACATAGGGGTTAGGTAGGAAAGAGAAAAAGACCTCATATTAATATAACTTTTAAAACTGTAATAAAAACCTACATCTTATACTGTTCTATAACATATACATTTGATTATACAGTTGTGCAATCAAATTTTAAAATGCAACTTTTCCATTACTTGCAAAATTTAAATAAGGTAATCATAGACAAGGAATAATGTTATAAATGGGTTTAGATATTTCATATATTCATACTTTATAATTATGACAATAATCATACCATTCAATTCAACAGATTATGCAGACTATTGGGCACAATGATTAATTATATAATTTAACTTAACTTGGTTTATTTGTCGCCTTGTTACTTTATTTGGATCAAATCTTTAAGCCTCTTCTAGAGTTGAGTTTTTTGAAATGCATCTACTTGCAGTGACAATACAATATTCTACAGGAATTTTTCAAAATTCAATACTTTTTTTTAAATTAAGCTTTGAAGTTTTTTGACATATTCTTGTTTAATGAAAAAATTTGGAAAATTCTGATCTTTGGACCATGGGATTGATTGAAAAATTATCTTCTAAACTAAGATTTTTCAGAGTATCATTATCAAGTTTTCAAAAATCATTCACTTTTGTTTGGAGGGGGGGGGGTATGATTTGGATGTTAGCAATGATGGATTATGTCAACAGCTCTATGATCTTAAGTTATGACGAGGTTGAATTTCTAAATCAGAGAAATTAAAATGAATAAAACGCAATGCTATGCCTTCAGATATATCAGATGATTTTTAAAAGATTATGCCATATATACTTCACTACTAAGTTCGTTTGAGAGAATACTTTTCTTATGCTCAGAGGCAGTGAGTTTCTTCCTTTATTATTGTTTGCTCATTTTGCAGAATAAAGTGCATAAAATAAAGCACATAAAAAGCTTTTTAAGCTACACACTTTTATTTAAATGCACTACAAATTTTAAAAAATGAATTTTCAGTTATAATAAGATTCTTGATCATAATTCCAATTAAAATAAAACTGTAGGGCTCCAACATAAGAATTGTTCTAGAACATTAACATAAACATAGAATTAGCAGATGGTAAAGATAGGTCACAAGAAAATGATTACATTAAATTCTTGTTGAATTAAAAATCTACCATTATCAGTAGCCTTCAATTTTAAGTTGTGTATAACTGGAAGGGAAAAAAAAAAAAAAAAAAAAATATCAGATAAGTAAAAAAAAAATCGCATTTACTTTTTAGGAAAGTTAACTAAAACAGTACACCTTAAAAAAGTTTATTTGTTGTTTACTGCATTTTTACACACAAACACTTTCAAGCGAAAAATAAATATGAATATTTCCCTTTTTGAAACAAGATATATGTTTAGCAAAATTAATAAAAATAATATGCAGCCATATAACTGAAAATTCAACACTTTCTGATTATCTGCACCCCCATTTAAAAGCCGTACGCACGTTGGCAATTTTGAGAAAAAAAAAATCTGTTTAGATATTCTTATGTCTACGCAGGCTATTCAGAAAGTAACTTACATTTTAGAATAATAATAATAAAAAAATTAATAATTAAATAAAATAAATAACAAAATTAAACATTTTTTATTACTTACATTTGAAAGGTACATTATTCAGCTATTTTTCTACATAATCTCCATATAAATTAAGACACTTATAGTATATGAGCTTGTTAACTCCATTGTCATAGAATGTTGCCGCCTGAGACTTCAATCACTCACAGACGCCTGCATGCATTCGTCATCGTTGAAGCGCTGTGTTGCAAGCCAGGCACACACAAGTGTCTCACAAATGATAAACTTTACCTAACTTTCGTCTCCTGTTACGACATGATCGAGAAGTGATTCACTGTTCGTGGTATGCCTCAAGAAATGTGAAAGTTGCTGCCATGCGCTGCTTTTTGTGGTCTTCTGATAAGAGTACCTATCTGGCACAAAACTCTTGATAGCCTAGGTCTTGCATCCCAACATCAAACAACAAAGTTCATGAAATTTGAGGAAACTAGTGAGAGTTCTGAAATTGCAAAGTGGTGGATTTCATAAATTATTTCATTGATTTCCTCTACAAGTTCAGCATTAACAATGCTCGGCTAGCCACTTCACATTTCTCAGGAAAATTTGTGCAGCTGTGTTTAAACATGATGCACCATTGTCTCTCTCTGGCTTCACTCATTATGTCATTTCCATATACCATACAAAGTTCCCAATAAATTTCAATTGTTCTCAGCTTTTTTGAAAATAAAAATCTAATCACTGATTGCATTTCATAACTGTTGGGATTTTCTATTTCTGCACAGGTTTAAAACATTCACAATGAACAAGGCAGAGGCAAAATGTGCCGTCAATGATTACAACCTGATGCATAAGGATTCAGTAGACACTCCAACACCAAGATGTGAATACTAGTACTATCTCTTGCCACGCAGCAGCGAAACATAAGTTACTCTGTGAATAGCTGTCGTATTTCAATGATGCGTCCAGTGTTACCTATTTTTTTTTTTTTTTCCTGTAGAAGACACAGGTACTTGTTGGAAGTAATTACATCAATTGATAGTTGTTTTTGTGGATAATACCAGTTCTTTTTCACAAAATTTCATTGATGTATATGCCTTTGCCCAGTAACAAAAAAAGCAAACAGCTGTTGAAAATGCAATATAGCCAGCTTCAAATCAGTTTAGAGATCCCATTCTAATACTATGCATACAGTTTTTCTACACAGTATTTTTCTACTGTTAAGCAAAACGCCACATATTTGAAGAAATGCAATGCTTTCTTTTTGATTAGCAGGCGTTATAAGGAAAACACCACATATCTGAAGAAATGCAATGCTTTCTTTTCCATTAGCGGGCAAACTCCAAAGTCCCAATATGATTCATTATGTTAAAAACAAATGTACTCGATGCAAAAAAGAAATATTGATCAGAAAAATAGACATTTAATTTCAAAAGAGGAAATACACATGTTCTACGTGCCTACCAACATTGTCACATAAATACTTTTCATATTGCCTCTTCAATACATTTTTATGACTTCGATGAGGGTGTGGATAATCAGAAAGTATTGAAAAGAAAACTTTAAATATATATAATTTTATCATAAAGATTAAATAACAAGGTATTTTTTAATTTTGAAAACAAATATTAAAAAAAAAGTTACATTTCAAATAAATTGTTCTCCACCTCGACTTCAGATCCAGGAGAAATTACTTCATCGTAGTCAGGATTTACAGACGAGTAACTGCTTATGTTGCAGTTTGATGAAGGTGGGCCATAAGAAAAAATATTTGCAGAGGTCCATGGTGAATAAAATGATACTGCATTACTATCTTCCACAGCTTTTAACTGGAAAGAAAGAATATAAGCAAAAGCAGAAAAAAGCATACAACATGTACAATACTCACAATTAAATCAATGCTATTTAGGAAGAAGATTCATTCTGTTAACAGAAGATAAACCACCAGTTTTTTTAATGGCGGCATTAAAATTACTGTACAGTTGAAAGAATGAAGAATATTTTCACTTACCAAAATATATTCTTATAGTTGCTACCAGGTAGCATTTTTTAGAATAAACCTAAAATTTGAACATACTCGAACAATAATCACATTAGAACTTTGATTTCTCAAATTAATGTAGTTCAAATTTTTGATAGCATGATCTGAATTTCCTACTTACACACACAAATTACATTAAAAGTTAGAACTAACATTCCAAATAAGCCAGTCTTTTTCTCTTTTTTAAATCAAGCAAAGCAAGGCTATTTGAAAATACCTCAAAACATTGTTTTTCCTATTTATATTATAATTTTTAAGAAAGCAGTCATGACAAATGAAAGAGAAAGTAATGATGGCAAACAAATAAAAGATTTTACACTGAAAGGCTAAATGCTAGGGGTAGAAGCACGATAATAAGCTGGGTTTCAGTTAGCTTTCAGAACTGCACTTTTAACCCTTTAACTGCTTAAGACGTGTTTAAACGTTTTCAGAGTTTTCTATGTTTAAGACGTGTACACACAAAGCCCAAATTTTGCCAAAATTGCTTAAGACGTGTTTAGACAATGCACTCTGGTGTTCTTTCCCCTACCTTTCTGCAGGCGGTTGTCAGTTGACACAAAGCACTTAATGAAGTGTAAAGTGTCTTTGAAAAGAGCACTTTACGAAAGAGTCCTGAGAGTGAAGTATCATAGTCAGACAGCAGGTATGTATTATCTGCGCGGCTACTAATAGTTTGCGAATGAAGATAAATCGTTTTACAACTGTTTGCCTTGTGGTACTTTATACAAATGAAAGTCAAACAGGATCAGACGTTGTTATAGAACATTGCCGAATTTTAGTAGAAACAGGAAAAAATAAGATTTGTAACGGAAGACGCCCTTTTTAATAAATAATATGTTATACAATCAAATATTTTTGTATTAAAAGTTGATTACAATTTCTGATTCGCCAGGAAGAAATATAAAATGTAGCAACCAGATTTCTTGTTTGCACTCGTATTTCAAATGTGCATTATTATAATGTTATATTCTTCCTTTTACATTCTGAAATGTTAAAACTGAGCTTTCAGCATGCCTGAGTTTTGTACTCGTATGTGTGGCTCTGTGTTCCATAGAAATGGCGACTGACATATAAAAATTTTATGAATGTTGAAAGGAAGATATTCTACTCGAAAACTTCAATTAAATGGAATAAATCAATATGCCGAAGGAATTTCTAGAACTATTTGTTTTAAAAATTTTATTATTAATATTTTAAATCCACAATGTTTAAAAATCCAAGGAAAAAAAATACATATTCCTTGAAAGTTTTTTGGAAAGAAATCTATTGGTATAAAATCGCTTAAAATTAACGGAGTGTAAATTATGTAAATCAGTTAGTGTATGGAAGAGTTAGATATATTGCGCACAAAAAAATTACAGTCAGAAGGTCAATTACCTAAAGAATTAAATTAATTACATTAAAAAATTTAAAATAAATTAACATCTCTCCAAATGTCAATGCTAACAGCAATAGCACAAATGAAAGTTATTCTTTAAGTTCCGAACTTAATTTATCCGTCGGTATGCAATGATTGTGTCTTTGCAATTATTTTTCATACAGATACTACAAAAGGCTGCCAATGACATAGCAGTAAAATCGTTGAATACTAATAGTTTGAAGCGGGTTCAGATACAGAAGCAGGTGAATGGATTGCCTGCATACCAGTTTTTGTGAATTTTTGCTGCCCATGTTTAATGTGAACATGAGCCAATTTCAGTTGGCTTTTCATGATGACGTGCCTTGACTACGAATCCTCCCTCGGGTTGTGTTTAGTTTGGCTTGTTAGATTATTAAGCACGCGTAGGTGATCTGCCTAAGGGGAGGTATGCTTTCGTGCCATGTTTTCTAAAGGAAACAATCTCATACTACATAGAGTTAAAACCATAAAAACGCCCATGCAATCAGCCTGTTCACGGGGGTTTGAATGCAGGTCAAACTACCAGTGTTAAGAGATAGCCCTCGTATAGTTTGCCATAAGCTAAATAAAATAATTAAACATTCTTGAAATTGCTTCACATTACTGAAATGGCAATAACTTCATATTATCCTATGCTACCATTTTTTCTCTAATATGAAATTTTGAGCTTTTCCTTTATCGGACAGCCACAAGCGGCTGAGCGGAGTCTGACGGAATAACTGGTGGTTCTGTCTGGCAAACGGGCTGTCTGGAATCCCGGCAAACGGGCTGGATGCGAGGATGTTTTCTTAGTATTCCATATGTGTAACATGTATTCAAGCCAATTTCCATTAGGCAGTCCTCCAGCGAAGGCATCCTTCACCTTAGGTAAATAACCCTCGAGTAACCTTGCCATAATCAAATAAACCATTATCCATAACATGCTTCAAATATTTTTATTTATTTTTTGTTTTTTATAACAATGTTCTTGCTTTCGGAATCTGAATTATCAATAAAATATTTTTAATAATATGCAATTATATTCTGTCTAATGAAAAATTAATTTACGTGACAAATTTCTTACGTTTAGAATTTTCGATTGTCGAAACGAGTTGCTGTCAAAAGCGCATCTTCTCATTGCTGCATATATAGGCGGGGATTGTGTCAAACAACTTTTTTTGTGACGACGTTGAACACCATGCCATGGATTGCCACTTGGTCTCCGGATTGTATTAATAGCCCCACGACTCATACCCTGTAATTATTGTTTCCAAGAATTGCCGGATTCCGGTCACAGATGTTGATAAAATCTCCAGAGGTTTCCATCCGGTATTGCTTTTGCTCATCTGACAGCGAGTGCGGTACAAACCGGGCGCATATCTTACGTTTATGCAAATGTTTGTGCCCAATGGTGCTGACACTGTCTAGGCTTATCTGCAATTCGTCAGCTATCGTTCTTAAAGATAGTCGTCAATCTGCTACAAGCATCCGTCGAACTCCTCCCACATCGTCTGGAGTTGTGCTTGTTGTAGGGCGGCCCGACCGCGGCTCATCTTTGACATCCTCCTTTCCGTCTGTAAAGTGTTTAAACCACTCATAAACACGCTTTTTACTTACTGCTTCCTGACCGTAAACTTTCATTAACATGTCATGTGTCTCCGTTTTGCCTAACTTGAAGCAAAACTTTATGTTTATGCTTTCCTCCATGTCACACTGATAATCTTTCTCATACTGACTGTGTTAAACTGCTCATAGCGTGCGCTTCCTCTTATCTGTCGTAAAATGGCTGTTAGATGGCATTTCTCTCACTGTGTCGGCGTGAGTGCAAGATCCTAATTGGCGCGGTTTTTTGATTATGAGACCAATCACTGAACTTTTCGAACATACCTTGTATATTGTAAGCTAATGAGTAACAACATTGCTTTGTTTGATTAAGATACAATAACATGTCGAACAAATATTAATTTGGAAGTCAAACAACAAAAATCAGCGTTATATTTTCAAATTTTTACAATCTAATTTTCATTATATCTTATCTCGTTCATTTGCACTTTTGCAGCTGAGGATGATGGTTTAGTAAAACCATTGACACTAGTCCTGTGGAAATTTGAAAATATAACGCTGATTTTTGCTGTGTGACTTCCAAATTAATTGCTTTGTTTGTTATTAATATATCTCATCTTTCTTCTTCCTATTTCAGAATAAAGTTTCACTAGTGTTTCTTGGACAGGATAAGCAAGAATTTTTTAAATTGAGTCAATAAATTTATGATACACTGAAAACAGTTTTAGGTTATAATTCCCTTTCTGAATATATTGAATGTATATAAAAAAGTAAAATGCAAATTTAATATTATCACCCTTAAATAACACCCAAATGCTCCATTTATTACTATTAAAACTACATTATAATTACGGCAAAAAGAAATTATTTAAAATAATTATTATTTGCATGCAGTTGAAGAATATAGACGACGACAAAAATAATATGAATATAATATGACGAATAATATGAATTAACGACAAAATACAGACAGAAAATTGGAAATAATACGAGATGTTTCAGCGATATCTCAGACGGAATCAAGGAGATACTTGTCAGATTAGAATTTAGTGATAGCAGTTTAATCAGTCTGCATTGAAATTCAGGTGATAAAAGTGACATACAGATTTAGGTTACTTAGGTTAAAAATGCATAATAATTAAATATTTAACCGGGTAAATTTTAAAACCAATTTATTTGAAAATAAGATTGTTTTAGGGAAGTAAACTTTTAAGTTTCACAGCTGTACCCTTGAGATTGATTTGTTGATTTTGACCTTTCCAGCGACCATCTTTGATCAATGACGATGTTAGCAAGATCGTTTTCTGATAGCATCGGAGATTGTAGAAAGGCTTAATTCAGCTCAGCTAAACAATTTTTGGACCGTATTCGGAAGATAGGATTGGTGTGGAAATATTCAAGATGGGTGCCACATGAATTAAGTCAGAAGAATTTGGATGATTGAGTCATCATATGCAAATCTCTGCTTGCTCGGAACAAAATCAAGCCCTTCTTGAACCAGATAATAACTGGGGATGAAAAGTGGATTACCTACAAAAACATCATAAGGAAAAGGGGATATTGTGAACACAAAAAATTTAGCCCTTCCACCTTTAAACCAAATTTGACTCTGAATAACAGAATGTTGTGTATATGGTGGGACATTCGACGACCAATACATTATGAGCTTTCAAAACAGAATAAAAAGCTCAATTCGGAGAAGTATTCTCAGCAGCTGATAATTTAAAGATAGTAGTCCGAGAAAAGAGGCCAGCAATATGCAATAGGAAGGACATCATACCGCATCATGATAATGCCAGGCGGCCAAATACTGCTTTGGGGACTTGTCAAAAAATTACAGAACTAGGCTGGGAAATTCTGTTACATCCACCATATTCCTCAGACTTAGTACACTTCAACTATCACTTGTTTTTGTCCTTACAAAATTTTTGAAGGTAAAAAAATTCAAAAATAAAGAAGATATCAAACAAGCACTTTTTTACATGAAAAGATACAACATTTTTCAAAAATGGGATATACAAATTGCCCTCATGCTAGCACGAAGTCATTAATAATAATGGCAATTACATTATTTAATAAAGTTTATTGATGGTAAGAAAAATTTGCATTTTGTTTTATTCCAAAAACAAACAGAACTTTCCAGTAGCATCAGAATTCATTAATTCTTACTAATATGTTTATAAAGATTATTTCTTGGACATATCATTAAATTAAATGCACTACTTCAAATATTATTTATTAATTGTTAAAAATTAAAATAGCTAGTTCAATTATTAAGAAATTTATTTATTGCTTTTAAACTGTTCAGTTATAGTTGGAAAGATGTTCTTATGTTAGGGTAAGTTCTTATGTTACATCAAATGGCAACACTCTAAAAACTAGCTATTTACCATATCACAGAAAAATTAACTAAAGGTCTTATACCTCATGTTAAGAGACTACCTGCCTGGTTTTGTCTGTGTTTTTAGTGGTAAAACATGGAGTGATAAATGGCATGGCAGCTTAATATAATATAACATCCAAAAAAATTTGCAAATAATTTAATAAAGAATTTTAACATGGACAGCAAAAAATAATATTGCAATTTTTAAAATTTCTTCTAAAAGTAATTAACATAACTAAAGTGAATCAAACCTATTTTAAAATAAAGTATTCATGACACGTAAGTAAATAACATATTTCTCTCTTTCTTTAGATTAAATTTGATGTAAAAAACCTTAAAAATATAATTAACTCTTCTTTGGGCATGTGATAAAATTCAAAGGGCCACAAAATAATGAACGTTCTGAAAATCAACAGATTTAGAAATATATGTCAACTTAATACTAGACCATAAATTTGGCAATACATACCATCATTTCAGTATTGGAAGGAGGAAATACTCCGTTTTCAGACGGAGGGTTTGCATATTTAGTAACACTCAACTGAGCCAACAACTGCTTTCTTCTCTGCTGAAGAGCAGCTAATGACTGGCATTCTAGTCTCTGAGGAAAAGAAATTTAAAAATATTCAGCATCTATAAATTTTAATAGTGCATATTTCAAATTAGAAGTTAAAATATTGTTAGATGAACTACAATCATAATTTCAGAAGTTAAAAATTAATGTTATTTCAAGATATTAAAATCTAACCTCTGTTTTGCAGCATCTTGTGTACATACAATGACTGCATATTAGAACAACATAAATATATTTATTCAATTGGTGTAAATAGGATAACTCCAGATGCACTAACAATAAATAAATTTAAAGGAAAAAAAAAAAAAAAAAGAAGCCACATTAAATTATACAAATAACATGAAAATAAAGTTAATTATAGATGAAAAATTTAATTAAAATAATTGATATTTTGGTGAATATAGTTATATTTAATAGTTAGCCTAGATGACTGATTACTATTTTACTGGCATTTATTTAAAAAAAAAAGGTTTAAAAGTTTTTTTGTAAAATCCTAGTATACGGTACGGCCGTGGCCACGATTTTGAAAATTGCCACCAACACCAAAATGATCCATTTACTGCTCATCATAATGTTGCCAAATCCCGTATGTACTGTTGTTATAATCGGCGGGTGGCGTTCGGACCCGATGACAGATATCCAGAACCGAACGCTGGCGGAAGGAGACCTGGTGTCTGTTCCTAGGAGAAGAACTGCCAGCACCTGTACCGGAGGACAGATGTCTGGAACTGGCTGGAAACCACTGTGAGTGGCGAGAACCGTGTGCGGGAGACCGTCGTAAGCAGTGGGGAAAGGCAGGAGACCCAGCGTTCGATCAAAGGGTAGGTGTTGAGGGATGGAGACCAGTTCTCATCTCCCTCAGTTCAGCATCAGCCTCCTCATGGCACCCGCTGAAAACTATGCTAGCATTAGGCTAGAAATAGGCTGGCTGTCTTCGGACGGCATTAGGCTAGATATAGGCTGGCTGGCATAGGCTAACAGATGCTGGACAATGGTCTCTGGCTGGGATTTCCGGAACTGACCATTTATGGGAGGAGACCTGGGGTTCCTCCAGACCACGGGCTAGACTTGTGTCTAGACAGCTCTGAATTGCAGAGTAAATAAACAGTCTTCACGGTAAAGACTAGAGCCATCATTCATTCGGTGGTGGTTCAGGCTTGACAGGGACCATATGTCTTGTCGGTGACCAAAGCTGTGGGGACATTACATGGTGGATGGTGCTGACCATCTGAGAGGAATTGATTCCTCTCAGTCGGTGTGGAGGGACGTATGATCTCTGGTTTAAGCATACTGTCCTAGAAAATGAGTACCGTGAGAGGGAGTGGTGCCCCCGCTCGTGAGAATTTAATCGCAGTTTTTACCATAACTGAGCAAAAGCAGTCAGTGTTGGGATCGGCCCTGTGGATCTCTTCGTGATGGTTGCCCGTCGGCCCCTTCACTGACGATTAATCTGTGAGGGAAGTTTTCCCTCTGCAGCGACCGGGAGAGGTGGTGCCCTACCAGAATGGTCCTGAGGTTGCGGTTCTACTAAACCTTGAAAGGGTATCAAACTCCTAGGCCAGGGGCCGTCTCCTTGATGCTAATCTTGTTATAATCATATTAATATTTCTTGACCTATAATAAAGTTCATTACAACATACTCACATAGAACATAGTTTATTCCAAACCAACATCAACTGACTACTACTTCACTTCAGTTCAACCAGCAACTAGTGTGTTGCCACATATATGTAACATCTCCCCTCTTTTGGGAGAGTCATAGGAATCAATGCATTACATAATTAAAATATTTGGATAGTCGATATACATTACGACCACTTCTTGTTTTATATACACAATCAAGATTAATATTATTGCTATTATCTTGATGGTGAGGATCATTATGTATTTTTGGATGTTCACTACTGTAGCGAAGCGGTATCTTAACTTTAAATTAATACACCTAAGAATACATCACTGCGAGTGGACTGTAAATTAACCTTTATTCGGCGGTTTGAACTTTCGAACACAACACAGCACAAAGTAAAACGACAGAGTTACAATTAGCGGTTTTAAGAATGCAAGAACAAAATGCGAGCTGCGCATACAATCTGCGCATTGCAAAATAATATCTCACAGACAGGCAGAGAGCTCTGGTGGCCGAAACATTCCGCCCGGCGTTGAAACATCGTTTCAAACTAAATAGCTTTTACAAAATGAAATTATCATAACAATATTAAATTATGCAAAAATGTATCATTAAAATATTCACAAGAAAACAGAAAACATACTATGAAATTATGCAATGAAACTAAATTGTTCTCAAAACAGATGCACAGAAGCCTTGATACAATTCAGGAACTTAATTATAGCTAAAGCAAAGTACAAAGTTATAATGCTTTAAGGAAAAACACTTACCATTGATAGGCAAAACACTAAGTTTGTGAATTGGCCTTTTGAAAACTCTGTTAGCAGTTTTGATCTTCACGATACGCACAATATTATCTGAGCTAGGAAAAACTTCCAGCACTCTTCCTAATTTCCATCGTAGCGGGGATAAATTGTCTTCCTTTATGATAACTAAATCATTAACCTTTAAATTAGGTTGCACTTTCAACCATTTTGAACGTCGTTGCAAATTAGAAATGTATTCATTGGACCATCTTTCCAAAAGCTTTAAAACATTTTCTCAACAAGCTTCCAACGTTGCAATATAGGAATTTTTGATCGTTGTGTAAACTTTCTTCTGGTAAAGCAGTTAGCGGGGTAGGTACCAATTAAAAAATGGCCTGGCCTGGCGTAAGTGCAGAAAATTCTGATGGATCTTCAGACAGTGGACAAAAAGGTTGAGAATTTAAACAAGCTTTCAATTTGAGCTAGCAATGTCATAAATTCTTCTTGCGTTAGAAGAGTTTGTTCACCTATGGTTTCGCTTTAGATGTAACTTTGTAGATTGAGATTTGACTGCAGCTCCCCATAATCCTCCAAAATGTGGCGCGGGGATGCGGGAGGATTAAATATCCACTTAATACCTTCAGTAGAGTAATATTTATTAACCAATTCATTTTCATTCAAGGAGGAGTTTTATTCTTTTTTTCAATTCCTTATCTGCAGCAATAAAAATTTGTGCCACAATCGCTATGCACTTCTATTGGTTTCCCTCTTCGAGATACAAAGCGCTTCAAGGCGGCAATAAAAATGATTCTGATGTAAGTTTACCTACTAATTCAATATGTATAGCTCTTGTAGTAAAAACACACGAATACACAAATGTAGCAGCATTAAGCATTTCATTGGTTTTTACTCCTCGACCTTGACTGGGCTTCACTTGAAATGGCCCGGCGTAGTCAATTCCAACTTGGAGAAAACCTTTGACGGAACGACTCTAGACGATGGTAAATCTGACATTATCTGGGTAGATGTTTTAGCTCGTACACGATGACATTTCACACATTCCAAATCTGTTGTCTTACAACTGTGACCTAGCGTGGATTATCCAATATTCTCTTCTAATTACTGATAGCAAAGCAATAGCAGGGGGCCTGCATGAAGATGGGATTCATGAAAATGATTCACTATAATCTGTGTTATGTGATGTTCTTGGGCAACCAAAATAGGATATTTTCTGTCCTGCGCGATGTTGTTGATTGTCTTCATCTTCCTCCAACGCGTATAAGTCCATTCTTATCGATAAAGGGGTTCAAAGAAAGGATCTTACTATTTGAGGTTAACGGTTGATTATTTTTCAGAAGATTATATTCGTTAAAAAAACTCATCCATTTGAACTACTCTAACAATTGCATTTCTAGCGTATTGCAATCCTTCGGTTTTAAGGTAACCCTTAATCCTTGTTGCGGTAGGTTTAGCTGAATTATTCGCAAACCGAAAACACCATGCGATGATTCTTTTAAGTTTCAAGAATGATGAAACTTCATTAAGGACTGGAATTTGCGAAGCGACTGTTCCCAATTGAACAAGAAATATTTTTTCGTTGTTCCCTTTAAAGACTCTTCTGAAAATGGTAAGTTGATAGAGAACGGAAATATATTTGAATTAAGCCACTGAGGACCTGTCCACCACAAGTCATGAGTAAAAAGTTCTGAAGGCAAAAGACCTCTTGATGCGCAATCAGCTGGATTCTCCTTTCCTTTTATATGATTCCAATGCGATGAAGGTAAGACTGATTGAATTTCTGAAACGCGGTTAGCTACGAAGGTTTGCCAGCATCACTCCATGCGTAAATACTGTCAACATGAATTTGTAATGAATTCTGCACAGCTTGAACCAAATGCACTAATAGAACTGCAGAGCAGAGTTCTAAATGAGGAATAGAGATTACTTTCAGGGGAGCTACGCGAGTTTTTGATGTTAGTAGCCGCACCGAAATTGAAGAATTATTTGAAGACTTTAAATAAATCACTGCAGCGTAAGCTTTCTCTGATGTGTCACAGAAACAATGAAGTTCTACATTTGTAGATTTGGGCAATAATACTCTCCTAGGAATATGAATGCATTCAATTTGCAATATCTTCACAATAGATTTCCATCTTTGATTGATTTCATCTGGCAAGAGATCATCCCACGAGACTTGTAATTTCTATATGTCTTGATGAAGCAAGATTTTGCTGCAACTATAAAAGGTGCTAACCAACTAGTGGATCAAGATTTTCGAAATAGAAGATAAAAATTATTCTTTTATTCTTTAGTAGTAGAACACTCTCTGTTTTTGAGATTCCAAAGTGTGACAAGTAAACTCGTCTTGCGTTGGATACCACTCCGAACCCAATAATTTTATTGATTTAGTATCAACTACTGTGTACATGAAGAATTTGAGTTTCGAGCACTCAAAGCAGTTTTCCAAAATCGAGCGATCATTTATACACCATTTATGCAATTGAAAGCCACCTTTTTGTAAAAGTTCACTCAGTTGTGAAATTAACTCTACTGCGTCTTCTACTGTGTCTGAACCAAATAGGACATCATCAATATAACAATTGTGTAATATTATTTCAGCTGCCTTTGGGAATTTAGCTCCTTCGTCAATTGTT